AATGAAGTTTGGACAAATTAGGTTAGAAATCTATTTTAAGTTATATGGAACAAGAAATAAGTGCTTGAGAATAATGCCCAATGTATGCTGACAAACTATTGTTTGTTGCCGGGGGAGGGGGGGGGGGGGCAGAAATCCATACAACATGCAGAAGTCAATGATAACCTGCATTCACCAACTGCCTCAACCCTGATCCTATATGGCTCGGTTTCACCCAACAAGATGGCTAGCCACCTGCGAAAAGCATCACACAAAGTATGAACTCTGAAGCTTCAGCATTGATCCCCAGAAAAATCTGGAGCCATCAAAGCAAACGACAGAGCAAAACTAAAATGCAGCATGGTGGTCACTGCTGTCCAAGCAGTAGTGTGTCATAACATTAAGGGCCTGGATACTGATGGTAACCATTTTGGTGAGTGGTGTTAAATTCTACCTCTAAATATGCCGAGTTCACATTCATTTTAAGACACTGTTATTCGAACAATATTTTTAGTTACGCTACACTTCCCCTACCCCCCTCCTCTATGGTAAAGACTGAAGCCTCCCAGATAAAACTTCTAAAGACAATAATGAATGCCTACATCTATTGCAGCAAACCGCCACTGTGAAGACGGGATGTTAAAAAAAAAAAGAAAAAAAAATTTCCCTGCACGAGGAACACAAATTTAAACAAAACATTAAAATAAAAAAAAATAAAAAAAACCTGATGTATGAGACATGCATCACAGAGAAGACATGTCGGCTCCGGACATACTGAACGGAACTGCAAATAACTCAGCCAGCCAGTAGTTTCAATCTTCACAAGGTCAGGTGGTTATCAAATGGCATGCTGCTTGATGAGCTGTGACTAGATGAGAACGTCAGTCAAGCAAGCCGTCAGAGTCAATGTGAAAAAAATCATCATTCCTCTTAACCATGCTTCACTTTTCTGAGAATGAATTCCGCCCTTCTTCAATCTTCCGAGAATGCAACTGCTTTGCACCCGTTTACAGCAAACTGCGATTTATGTGCCACCTGGCCAACACATTTGACTGTTCAGGCACTTGTTCCTCAGGTTAGCCTTCCAGAATTTGGGACTCTTTAGTAAATACATCTGACTGTGTAAAGGCTACAGAAGTTTATATTCTTTCTTTTCAGACGTATACATTTAATACACACATACAACAGCCCCCAGCTGTTCTGAAGTTAAGACTGAATTATGGTATCAGAGTGCAGGAGGATGTTCTCTCAACAGATGCTCACATTACATCTATAGGTCTAGCCCTATATGCCCTATACGGCTAAACACATTACATCACCACTAGCAACAAGACTTTACTAGTTTCTTCTTTCTGTTTCCTATTACTTATGCCTCAAAGAACTGTAGAGTACAAGCAATGGAATGAAACTGAAATGACACTTACATCAATCCTACTGTATAACAGAGAAGACGTTTGCCATATTCAAATGTGTTGCTCAAATGAATAAAAGCATAAAAACTATAAATGGAGTAACACTAAAATGGCATGTGCACCAACCACACTGGAAAACTCTGCCCAAGCACCAGTTGTTCATTGTAGTCATTAGTGCCTGGACACCAATGTTAACACTCTGAGCACCTCATTCTTCTTCTTCTTTGTGCTCACCTGCCGTAAACTCCGACAGAAAGCTCTGCTTGTTTATCCACTTCTGGACTTTAATCTTCCAGAATCTGAGCTTTGTATGCACATCCGTTTTACAGATCTGGGGGTTATTTATAAGCTGACTGTTAGTACCCCACCTCGCAGGCAGATGCACTCTGACTTTGAAGAACCCATGTGGGCAACCTCATTCAACATGCAAAAGTCAATAATAGCTTCGTCCGCTGCCTCAGAGTTTTTCCTATGTGGCTATGTCTCTCCCACCAAGATGGCTAGCCACCTGCAGAAAGCATCACACAAAACATTAACTCTGAAGCTCCAGCAATGATCCCCAGAGATCTCTGAAGCCTTCAATGCAAGCCATAGAACAAAACTAAACTGCAGCAACAGTGGTTCTCATCCAGGCAGTAGTCTGACATAATAAGCACCTGAGCACCGTGTAAAATCACTGCTGACTTGTAATCATTCCATGGCATCTACTCACGTTTAGTCCTGCATGTTTTATACATTTCTTTTGAAGAAGAGTGGCAGGCTCAGTGGTTAGAGAAACTGGCTCTCATGTGGGAGGCCCAGGTTTGACACCTGGTAAGGGTTGGAGATTTGTTTTCTGTCAGGGGACAAAAACTACATGAGCCCTTCAGCTTTAAGTCCCCAGGCTCATCAACCCCGACCCCAAGAGGGTTCTGCCTAACAAACACATCATAGGAGTCAACTAATTGTTTCCTTCAACATCAAAGTGCATATGCCTGAGAGGCAAGGAACCAGCAGTCTGTATTCAAAGCCAGATCTGTAAAACGCATGTGCACACAAAATTCAGGGCCAGGAGCAAGATCAAATGAATAAAGTGGGCCAATAACCAGAACTGTTGCCAGAGTTTACAGCCGGTGAATGCCAAGAAGAAGAAGAAGAATGACCCCCCCCCCCCCCCCCCCCAATACTGCTCAACAAGTGGTTAATCCTCTCATTATCATTATGTGTTGTACCAATATATACGTAAGCTGTCATGTTTCATCAACCTATATGATCACTAGAAACATGGATCAGGTCAGTGATCTTGTCTCGCTCCTATCCATATGGCTAAGCCATCCAGGAATATATCTCTCTGCCTTCTCCTTGCTCTCTTTCCATCAGTCTTATTAACTGTAACCAAATTCTTGAGTCCATGCCTGCTCATAAAATGTCCAAACAACACTGAATGTCAACATCTTATTTTTCTAACTAGTTTACGACTTTCATCTGTCCCGAGGAAGGCTTTCTCATGTGTAAAGTGGCAAACACACAGAGAGTACACACAGTATGTATATTTTCCTGAAACTCGTGCAGCTGTTTTTCGATGGACTCATCATGCCTATATATAAATAAATCAAGTACTGCAACTCTTCGGTGTCAATCATGCTGTTTTGAGACACCGGAGTGAGCTCCCTCCTCAGAGGTCTTGTGGGAGGTCCTGTATTTGTCCCCCACAGAAACAGAAACACAAAAAATGACATGAGAAATGTGAAACCAGTGAGTGATCAAGTATTTATAGCTTACACAACTTCAAACAAAAAAACACAAGTGAACCGAGGATACGGCATGAGATATCAATATAAAACCAAGAAACGAAATAATAATATCAGAAATGATAACTAAAACATCTGAAATTACACGAGTAAGGGTCACAAATAATAAACTTAAGGCATTGTGTGACAAACGACATCCAGTGTTAACCACAAGACTGTACTCAGTTTTACAATACTGACTGAATTCTGAATGGAAATACAAACTGTCAAATCATTCATTCATGGTGCTTGACTTAGTGTTTGTATCCAGCCGTACATTAATTTACATAAATTCTTTTTTTTTTTTAAATAGCCATTCTTTCTCTGTTAAAAGCTGAGTTGAGAACTGACATGGCAGCACTCAGGACAGACCCATAAGTGCACAGTCTCCTGCAGCCAATGCAAGGGTCCCATTCTAATGGTAGTAGTAGCAGTTTGATTATATGTAGTTTTTCTACTTGTCTGACAGTGAGTGTTGGCCAGATTTCCAGGTCAATCACCTCTGCACCATCTCGCCAGACCATGATGCTCTATCTATTCATACTTCTACGCTGATAACATTTTTCTAAAGGCTTGGATCCCATCTGTCTTGTCATGCATCAATTCCCCACCTAGTGGTGCAGCACCAGCCAATATGTCTGCCTGTTAATTTCCCAACACACAGGCATGACAGAGAAATGATCCAAAAGGACACTAACTACCCAGGACCTACGAAGCAATGCTTACCACTTTGCATATAATATAGTATGCGTGTCTCCACATTTTTATTTTATTTAAACTGCAAATTTGTTGACACAGCTGCTCAAATATCCTTCAGCGAATTTCAATGACAGATTCTGCATGAACACTATGTTGGTTATAAACATCAATAGTTTGTTAACAACAATCAACTCTGTTAAAAATCTTCAACTCTAATCGACTTAACAAGCACAATTCCCATTCTAATCAATTGATTACACCGGGAAGGCAACAAATGCCCGCAGAAGTCGGATGTGTTGACCAAAAGGTGTAAATATCGCAGCCATGCTGTAAACGGACACAACGTAATTACATCTTCTGATAAACGCAGAAGAAGATGAAGAATTCATTACAATTTTTGATTTGGGTCAATTGTTACTTTGAATTGATATACGCCTGAGTTATTCGTTCATGTTCTCCCTCTTGAAGATGCTACATGGTGCGACACCCTAAGATTACAAAACATCAATGTGGATGGCAGACCAACATGCAAAGCCCAGATAACTTGTTCAACTTCCAAAGAAGTTATAACTGGGGCACCTGTAAAATGCTGCACCAGTTCTGTGTGGGTAAGGATGATTCCTTGCTAATAATATTATCTGATGACTTATAAGAGCTATTAAAAAAAATGTGCTAGAATTAAAGTTACAACTGGGAAAGAAGGGTTAAAATAACAGCTGTTTGGGACAGAAGGCAAGACAGTCAAGTTGGGACATAATGGGTTAATGTAACAACTATTTGGGGCATGAGTTAACACATATAATCCTTGTAGTATACATTTTTACAACAGTTATTCTCAAATTAAAATGGCTATTCATGTCACTACTAAAAAATCTGGCACTCAAAACATTCTTATTCTCCTGTTATCATCAACACCTGAGCATTAATTCCCCTTCGTTTAACAAAAAAAGTGCCCGTATTAGCTGATTCTTTACAAAGATATTGACAAACTTACTATCATATACAAACACAACAGTTGCTACTTAAAATGTTCTAAAACACAGATTTGTGAGCAACTCACAATCACACACAGCTATTGTACACAGGAAGTATCCGCCAGTCACACAGATGTGCCCCATACAGAGCCACCTTGTCAGAGAATCTACCGCTCCTCCAGTATCAGTGTTTCTTGTGGGTACAACTTTAAAGCTTCTAAGGTTGATGCTGTGTCCAATACAGAAATCTGAAACATGCAGTCAATCAAATGTCACATGAGACCTCCCTTACCAAACATGGTCGCTGAAACGTCACAAGCAGAGCCGAGGCAATGTCATGTGGTTCAGGTGCAGACAGGTTCTTGTCACCCCTCCCCCCATATATTTCTATATTCTAGCAGCATTTGTGTATGCTTTTACCCCCCTCCCTTAACAAAATAACCTCTCATATTTTAGGAAAAGATGTAGAAAGTAAAGGATGCTGGTACGATTTCAACCAATTATCTACTAATCCTTTTTCTCCGTGAGGGCTATAAAAACATGAGCCCAGAACCCGTTGGATTTCCTTTGGTGAATATGATACAAAACAATTTTACAAAGGTCACCAATAAAGTTAGTTAAAAAGTATTTAAATGTTCGCTTAGCTTTGTGTGCATGTATTTATTTTTTTTTTTTTTAATGGATGAAGATATATAAAGGAGGTCCTCAATAAACACTTACAGGGTGAAGCGTTAAATAGAATACATTCCTCAGGGCCTAAAACAAATATGTATCAGGTGACTCATACCATGACCCTGTGACCTCTATCACTGAGGCTTACAGGCAAAGTTAATGTCAACATGACTTTAAAAAAAAGCAATCAGAGTAATAAGGACACCTACCCCCTCCCCCAAATGCAAGCTTTAGTTAATATATGAACATCTGGGTCCGGTAAACACTGCGCAGGCACACACAGAACTAAATAGAATTTCTCTATGCTTTCTGAGAACAAGTCGCTGCATAAATCAGCATTTGTGGAATTTTCACAAACATAAGTTATTTGTTTCCTCACGGCGACAAAGTTAAATGTCAGCCAGTAAAAATATAAGTCCAGCAGGGAAGCTGAACACAGCTCTCAGCCTTGAAAAAAAGGCCTTTACTTGAAAACTATCCAGCAAAGACCCTTTTTCGTCAGTGCCAGATTGAGCATAGGATGCTATACTCTTATCTGTTGTAGAGCATTCGGCACCTGGTGGCTGATACGATCAATCTCAAGCCGGTCGCTTCTTCTTCTTCGTTCACCGGCTGTGAATTCCGGCGGAAGGTCAGGTTAATCCTCCGCTTGGACTTTTGGCCTTTACCTGGACCTGAGTTTTGCGTGTACAACCGTTTTGCTGTTCCCTGCCTCATGGGCAGCTGTACTCCGACTTCGAGGGAAGACGTCAGGCCTATTTCTAGGATGACTGTGGCCATTGTTTTGTGTGGGTCGAGACGTTGCCTGATTTGTGTGGTGTCCACTTTGTCTCCTTCTCCGCAGGTATTGCCCCCGGAGTATCCCTTTGGGGCAGCCCCCTGTGGAACGGTTGGCCCTCAAGGGAAGGCAGGGCTGATCATGGGCATTCTCTGCCATCCAAGGAGGCTTCCATTTTTGCAGAGCCGGCACATGGCGCTCTGGTTCTGGGCTCACCCAAGGATTCGTCACGTCCTGCACATGCCTGCTTGACCTCACAACCATATTAGGCCTCCCGCTCGACAAGGGCTGCGCCCTCCGGAAGTCAGCGGGGAGCAGCCCGCGAATTCTGGGCTTTTGTGACCACCCAAATAGGTACATTCTTTTTCTTTGCACGTTAGGTATCTTTGACGAGCCGTTAGCTAGACAAAATTCAACATCCTGCGTCAGGCATATCGTTATCTGTTTGGTCCCAGCACTCGGGCGACTGGGGTCTTTTGGTGTGGACATTTGGACTTTTTTCGTTCAATACGATTTGTGATGGTCAGATTTTGAGCTTACTCGTGTGACGTAGGTTCTAGTTTTGTTGGACATTTAGGCTTAGCCAGCCGATGGATGGTTGCTGTCTTGGTGTACCTCAGAGGATGTAATTGGGTAGAATCTTGCTGCGGGACACCACCCACAGGAGATGTTACTCGTCTGTGCTGCGGGTAAATCTCTAGGTCAAGGGTTGGGTCTCAGCAGAACAATGTTCTCTTCACTCCCCAATCTTTTAACCAAGGGTTGTAATTTTAGTTGTACATTCGGCAAGCACTTTACTCATGTTCCTAATGAGTTTTGATAACCTTTTTCAACCATGTGTTTGGGGGTGGGCTGATGAGAGCCACAAGGACACATCACCTCTGGGGACCGCCAAACTCTGAGATCCCCTGACAGCTCTGTTAATGTTCATTTTAGACATTATCCGTGGCGCACGACGAGGACGTGCTGCAGGGGTCTTGCGTGAGGTTCCGTACAACCAGAACAGTGAAGAACTGGTGCCCGAGTGACGTACGGAGTGTCTCCTTATACACATCATGTTGGACTAAACTTTCCCTCACGCCTGTGACATAAATCACCGTGCCACAAGCCGGTCGCTGACTTTAGTGACAGTGACAAGCATAGACCCACTAGCCTATCAACAAGCTGTTGTAATAGCTGACAAATTAGAGGTTTTTACTCTGAAGTCATATATCTGCCTGAGAGGCGAGGAACCAACAGTCTGCATACACATAAGCCAGATCTGTCAAACAGATGTGCACATAAACTTCTGGAACAAGGCTGAAGTCCAGAAGTGGATGAACAACCAGAACTTTCTGCTGGAGTGTACAGTTAGTGGATTCAAAGAAAGAGCAGATATGAAAGAACATGTTTGATTTTACTCACATCTCTACGAGGAAACGTGGTGAGAACTTTGTAATCTTCTGTGTGGTAACCCTGCGATGTTAGGAAGTTAAGCAAATCTCCAAGGGTATTTTCTGCGAAAAATCGTCTGGTGAGTATCTGGCCCTTTGGCGCCCGAAAACGTAGAAAAGATATGCGAGCAGTGCTGTCTTCTGATGGCTCGTCTGGGACTGTTGTAGCAATGGATTTACTAATAGCCTGGAGAGAAAGAAACAATATTTACCGCTGGTCACACAGCCCTAAAATTGGTGACTAGTTTTCTGTGAAGATAAAATCTTCCTATTTATCATTCCAAGACTGATTTGCAACAATGCCAATTAATTTTACAGAACATGGTAGAGACTAGCCGGCACGTGGCACACATATATAAGAGGCACCTGGGATTATCACAAAGTATTGGTTCCTTCAAATTTGTTTAGCTCACTCCTACATTTCTGCATCAGTGATTCTGAGGTATCATTTAAACTCCTCCATTCTTTACAGGCACAGTTAATGAGTGTTTATACATTTTTCTGATTATTTTAGGTGTCTTCAGTGTCTCTGCTCATTCCTGCAGCCATGACAGAGTTAAATATTCTTAGTCTAATATTGGGTTCACTTTCTGTAGAGTTCCATACACTTCCTAGCGCTATCATAGCTTCTTTTGCCTTTCACATGCTTATATTTATATCCAGACCTGTTTCTTCATATGCCTCTACATAGCTGCTTAAATAGGGCTAAGATTCCACCTCTTGAAGTGAAGTTCCAACAGAGACAGATTTTCACTGTTTTTTTTTTAAATTTATTCTTTTTTTTTTTTTTTAAATTAACTTTTCCTAACAATATGAATGGCTTTAATCTGATGGACAAGACCACAAACACACACACACACAACTGACCTCTTTAATCAACTTCTGTTCTTGTTTCTGGTTTTCAACCTTCCTTTGCTCCTCGATGAGCCTGTCCATCTCTTCTCTCCGTTTATCATCTTCCAACTTCTGTGCTTCTGCCTGTCATGTAGAGAGGATGTTTTATCACAATTACACGTCACAGACAACACCTGGCAGCTTAAACTAGATGAGACATGTAGCATCATCATGTGCCATAAGCCTGTCCTGTCTCTAGTTCCTGGAGGGGCACAACGGGATAGGCACTAGTCTGACTAAATCATGCAGGATCAGCCATCACAAAATCACATACTTTAAAAACCGTACACTGTCATATTATTCAGTGCGATGACGGTAGATGTACATCCCTCAAGTACTGATGTGCCACACATGGAGGGTTGAAACAGATCCATCAGGTACTGATGTGCCACACATGGAGGGTTGAAACAGATCCATCAGGTACTGATGTGCCACACATGGAGGGTTGAAACAGATCCATCAGGTAGTAATGTGCCACACATGGAGGGTTGAAACACATCCCTCCAGTGTTGATGTGACACACATGGAGGGTTGAAACGATCCCTCCAGTACTGATGTGCCACACATGGAGGGTTGAAACAGATCCCTCCAGTACTGATGTGCCACACCTGGAGGGTTGAAACAGATCCCTCCAGTACTGATGTACCACACATGGAGGGTTGAAACAGATCCATCCAGTGTTGATGTGCCACACATGGAGGGTTGAAACAGATCCCTCCAGTACTGATGTGTCACACATTTAGGGTTGAAACAGATCCATCAGGTACTGATGTGCCACACATGGAGGGTTGAAACAGATCCCCCTAGTACTGATGTGCCACACATCGAGGGTTGAAACAGTAGATCTGCAGTTAAGTGTGTTGCTTGTCTACAAAGGGTAGTTGTAAACACCCAGTAGTTAGTCACTACCCTACCAACCCCAAGACATTGGATTAGAATTTGCATCTATGCAGATTTTTTATGACCTACCTTTGCTACCAGGTTGATTCCGCATAAAATGAGTATCAAGAAATGTCTTGGAAAGTAAAGGCAACAAGTGCTACATTCAGAGCTCGAAGCAACCTTTCCCAATGAGTCTTCAAGGTTTTCTCAAGGAATAGAGACTGGTCTTTGAAAATACAAATCTAGTCCATATGCCTGACACCTTAAGGCATTTACTTTTCTTGTCTTCCAGAGTACATCAAGGCATATTCAGACGATCCCGATTTAACTAACCAGTTTGTACATATGTGAATAACTCTGGGCAACTACCCAACAAAACAAAACAAAAACAAAATCAATTTGATAACGATACGCAACATGACCATTTTCCAGTCAACAGCTTCTACATGTGTGAACAACTTTCTACAACAATAACAAGTAGACAATGAAAGCAAAACATGAAGTTTCTCCAGTCAACAGCTTCTACATGTGTGAACAACTTTCTACAACAATAACAAGTAGACAATGAAAGCAAAACATGAAGTTTCTCCAGTCAACAGCTTCTACATGTGTGAACAACTTTCTACAACAATAACAAGTAGACAATGAAAGCAAAACATGAAGTTTCTCCAGTCAACAGCTTCTACATGTGTGAACAACTTTCTACAACAATAACAAGTAGACAATGAAAGCAAAACATGAAGTTTCTCCAGTCAACAGCTTCTACATGTGTGAACAACTTTCTACAACAATAACAAGTAGACAATGAAAGCAAAACATGAAGTTTCTCCAGTCAACAGCTTCGACATGTGTGAACAACTTTCTACAACAACAACAAGTAGACAATGAAAGCAAAACATGAAGTTTCTCCAGTCAACAGCTTCTATATGTGTGAACAACTTTCTACAACAATAACAAGTAGACAATGAAAGCAAAACATGAAGTTTCTCCAGTCAACAGCTTCTACATGTGTGAACAACTTTCTACAACAATAACAAGTAGACAATGAAAGCAAAACATGAAGTTTCTCCAGTCAACAGCTTCTACACGTGTGAACAACTTTCTACAACAATAACAAGTAGACAATGAAAGCAAAACATGAAGTTTCTCCAGTCAACAGCTTCTATATGTGTGAACAACTTTCTACAACAATAACAAGTAGACAATGAAAGCAAAACATGAAGTTTCTCCAGTCAACAGCTTCTACATGTGTGAACAACTTTCTACAACAATAACAAGTAGACAATGAAAGCAAAACATGAAGTTTCTTCAGTCAACAGCTTCGACATGTGTGAACAACTTTCTACAACAATAACAAGTAGAAAATGAAAGCAAAACATGAAGTTTCTTCAGTCAACAGCTTCTACATGTGTGAACAACTTTCTACAACAATAACAAGTAGAAAATGAAAGCAAAACATGAAGTTTCTCCAGTCAACAGCTTCGACATGTGTGAACAACTTTCTACAACAATAACAAGTAGACAATGAAAGCAAAACATGAAGTTTCTCCAGTCAACAACTTCTATATGTGTGAACAACTTTCTACAACAATAACAATTAGACAATGAAAGCAAAACATGAAGTTTCTCCAGTCAACAGCTTCTATTTGTGTGAACAACTCTCTCTCTCTCTCTACAACCAGACAAGTACATAAAAAAAGCCAACAATGAAACATGACATTACCTTTTTCCTGTCGGCAGCCAGAGATTCCTCGTAGGCCATATCCTGTTCTTGTTTGATTCTCTCCCTGGCCTCTCGCTCTTTCTGTGCAAAGATATCGGACAGTTTTCAGAATGTTCAAGGATTGAGAGGTGGGAAGGAAGAGAACAAGACACTCACACACCTAACTACGCTCTAACCTAGCACATGTGAGGGCCTAATATCACAGTTACCCACTACAGAACTAGCTTTACTATTACAGTCAAACTTGGTTAACATGAACAGTTTCTGGATAATTTACAGGAAAAACTCATTAACACAAATTTGCTTAAGAATGAACAAAATGTTGTCCCAGCATGGATGTACTATTATTTCTTCTTCTTCTTTCGGTCGCTTCAAATAGATAATCTATATCTGCAATGCTGTCTCTAGTATCAACTTCATTAACTGTTGTAATTCACTTAGTGACCTGTAAAATTTGGCTTCAACCAGTGTCTCTCTTAGCCAAAAAATTTGCCAGGAAATGTATTTGGGACAGTCTTGGAGGATGTGATCTGTTGTTTTGGGTGTCAAACCACATGTACACATAGCTGATTCACCAATCTTAACTTTTGTGTACATGTGGCTCTGAAGGTGATTCTGCCTTGTTCTAAGGCTTAGAATGACATGCTCTAGTGTGTCCATAATAAAATAATCATCTTGTGCCAGTTGTGGTGGCTTTATGATTGGTATTATTTATAATACGCCTATTAGTCCCCAAGAACTGTTTAAACATGAGCTGTTGATTTCTCGGTCCTTCAGAATTTATGTTAACAAAGTTTCACTGAATTATGTAATTGGTTAAACAAATTATTTAGCAATCTCAGTAAAGCAAGAATGACACTGACAAGGAAACTAATAAATAAAGTAACTAGAAAACCCTCTGTCTGGAACCCATGAGGTAACAGAAATATAGTCAGAGAAAAGAAATAAGTATAAGAAAATAGAGGCAGAAATAATTTAATATATGAAAGCATAGAAGGAAGAACAAAAGCAAGCAGATGAAGAAGAGTTTAACCTGAGAAGGTTGAGGCCTCTGCATGGTGAAGAACTAAAAGGAAGGAGGAGACCAAAGAGGAAGGGGTATGTTTTCAGTAGACAATATTAATATGTCAACAGACACTTATGCTGTATACATCACATAAAAGAGGAACATACCCCTTCGTTAACCTCGAGCTCTTTCTGTCCCTGAAACACCTCCACGGCATGTATCAATCTGGTCATCATCTCATCCAACGTAGTGTGGCCTGGAAGCACGAAGTTTTTACAACAGCAGTCAGAAATATATAATATATAGTGGCACCTTGGAATTTAAATGCTTCAAAACTCAACTTTGAATCCGAGCAAAATTTTCAAGTAAATTTTGCCCCGGAACTTTTCCCTTCCTCCTCCTACTTCTATATGCTATGTCACCATTTCTATCAGGGTACAGTAAATACAATGTTTATTTTACATCTTTATAGTTATGTTTGTATTCAAATATGATCATGACTATATTTAAAGTGTACTGTTTGTTGGACCCTGGAACATAGTTCCCTTTACTTTCAAGGAGGAAAACTGCTTTGGAATTCGAACACTGTCTCTGAAGGGATTATGTTCTCATTGCAACGTATCATTGTCAGCCCATCTTCACATACACAAGTGAATCTTGGACAGGCAGCAAAAGTGAACATAGATGTTCTCAAATCCCTTCCTTCTCACAACAGGTGAGGACAAACACTGACTGACTGGCATCTCTATCAGTTTAGTTTCCAAGGTCTCAAGGAGGACTGCCTCATGTCAAGTCAGCAAGTAGCTGAACTACACACATCCAACATTCACACTCCTTTACTGAAACATCCTTACACAAAACAAGAACACCCCAAGGTGAACAAAGGAGCTATTAAAACTAACCTAACACAGGGGCAAATCCACAAGACCCTCCAAGATGAAAACAGAAACAAGGGCAAGTTACTACAAACGATGAACAGACCTTGGATTGCATCCACAACTTCGTTGGATGATTTGGATCGAGATATGATTAAGAGAGAAGGCAAATGTTCTGTGATGTTGCACTGCATCTGTGCTGTGGCTAAACTGCCAAAGTGTCGTGTTGCCGCTTGCATAAACCTGAAAAGATTAACCAGAAACATATTCACTTTGGATATGAAGTCACACTGTGCACTCACTGAGCATGTCACACTGTGCACCTACCTAGCAAGTCACCATGTGCACCCATCTAGCAAGTAACATTGTGCACCAACCTAGCAAATCATGTGCACCCAACTAGCAAGTCACACTGTGCACCCAACTAGCAAGTCACACTGTGCACCCAACTAGCAAGTCACACTGTGCACCCAACTAGCAAGTCACACTGTGCACCCAACTACCAAGTCACACTGTGCAACCAACTACCAAGTCACACTGTGCACCCAACTACCAAGTCACACTGTGCACCCAACTACCAAGTCACACCGTGCACCCAACTACCAAGTCACACTGTGCAACCAACTTCCAAATCACACTGTGCACCCAACTATCACACTGACCCTGTCATAACAAAAACAGGCAAAGGTCTGTCAGCAATGAGGCTATGTCAATCTTCACTCCCAATTCTGGCACTCTTAGCAGTGATGTAAATGCGATGCCCCCACATTTTATGACCATTTTCTCTCTAAGAAACAAGCGGACAGACTGGCTAGCTTTGCACAACTTGGTGGAATACTGATGCATGATAAGGCAGACGTGGTTAGTGCCTTGTACAGTTGGGAGGAGCAGATGTATCCCCAGTCTAGTGAGATTGATGCACGGGGAAGTGACGAGAGGTTCTAGAAGACGCTCGAGGCTCAGAGGAAAGGCAAGTTGGACGTTTAATCAGAATGCTGCTGGCACCATTAGTATCGGAATCTTCACTGGCTGCTGAAGATGAGAACAGAGCGCTTATGGGAATGCTCCAAGTGCTGTGATGTCGGTCCTTGAATTAACTTAACTCACTAAGAGCTTTAGCAATATCGGTGCGATCCATAGGCCAGCCACAGCCAGCCAATCTATCTGCCCTTTCATTGCCAACACCACCATTATACTCCGGGACAAATATAACTTAAAGAGCTGTGGACCTTTTCAGTGACTCACTCAACTGCCTGTGCAAGACGCAGCCAGCCTCAACTCACTGGACCATACACAGGGAATAACTCAGTACATACATAAAGGAATAGTCCTTTTCTTCCAGACACATGAAAGTTTTATGTCAGGGCCATGACCTTCATCACCATGCTGCTGTAGCAACAGAGAAGGCAGCCAGGCTTGTTGGACTCTTCTTGTCAATGGAGTATAGGGATTATGATTCCAGATAGATCTATCGTTAGCAAAACTTATTCCGCAGGATATTTCCTGTTACTTATCTTAGGCTGGGTCAACCTAGGAGTCAAGATCAATTTGTTTTAAAGATCCGCCCGGTGCAGACTTGCAGGACTGACTTACCTCATGAAAATGTCATATAATGGTAATGTCTTTGGCATACAAACTTGGTAGATAAATCTACAACACATGCACAATTGTGACACATCCCCAAAAAACCAGGCTTATTAAAGAGATAAACTTTTTCACAAACAGACTTTCACCTCGCAGTGTTGCCAGGCGCTGTCAGATCCCATGCCCAGGTCACAAAATGGACACTGAGATAATTGACAATTCCCTCGGCACACAACAGTTGAGAGCAAAAAACATTGGAAAATATGCTGTTATCATGATGGAGATAAACAGCAAGAAGTTTGCGCTGTAAACAAAAGTATATACATTTTAAAAACCTTCATTCACTTAAAATCAGCCGTAATTATATGAAAACAATTATAATTCTTCTTCTTCTTTACCTCCCCTTGCTGTAAACTCTTGTGGAAAGTTCTGGTAGTTTATCCATTCATTTTATTGACTCAGAACTTGATTTTTGCGTGCACATCCATTTAACAAATCTGGCTTATTTGCATGCAGACTGTTGGTTTCATGCCTCAAAAGCAGATAAACTGACTATGAAGGAAATACCCCGTAACTGCCAGCAACTAGAGCGTACTACATGGGAACAGCAGGCCACAAGGCAAGAGGCTGACCAAGAAAGATACGGGTGGATGGAGTAAAAGAGACTGCGGAAACGCAATATGATCTATATAAAGAGCAAAGGGAGAGGATTAAACAAGTTCCAATGGACCAAGAGGTGAAGAAAATACGCTGCCATTGGATAGGACACACGCTGAGAAAACTTGAGAACAATATAACTAGAATGTCTTTGCACTGGAACCTACAGCGGCATAGAAATAAAGAAAGACACACAAAAACACCGAGAAGGGAGCTCGGGAGTGAAGTTTTAAAAAATGCGATAGCGAAGAACAGAACGATCTGGTATGAGTTTATTGAGGGCCCATACTCCACTGGGGGCTAGAATGCAGAAGAAGAAGAAGACACAACAAGCAAAAATTGCCTAAAAATGCATTCACTAATCAGGTGAATTATATACCCAAAAATGCATTCCCTAATCAAGTGAATTATATATCCAAAAATGCATTCCCTAATCAAGTGAATTATATTACAGTTACCTATAAAAGCTCTAAAAGTCTCCCAAATTTTAATTAACTTGTATATTCCCAAAAGGTTTAGTACCAGGCGGTCGTAGTGGCTTGGTGGCTAGAGGCTCGCCTGCCAGTTCAAATCTTTTAGGGTTTAACCCACATCGAGCCAGATTTTATTTTAAAACTGACTTTAGTTGACTGGTTGGTTCACCCAGCCGAAAGTAGATACCATGTAATATCCTTTGAGGTACAGGCAGATGGCTTTATAGTGACTACCTCAGTCATCAAGTGCTGATAAGTCTATCGACAAGTTCCTAAAAGAAAAAATGATAAATGGCTGTACTCACATCAGCTGCTCTAACCATCAGTGACTCTCGTATAGCGTCATCCAAACTGCCAATATAGAACTGTGGATGACAATCTCCGTATCTGTGTCAGAAAGTCAAAGAGTTGTATTATTTCAGGACAGTGACCACAGCAATGCAGAAATTAAACAATAAATACAAGCACAGCACCGGGAAACAAAGAGAAGTTAACAGTTTGAAAACATGTCTAGTTCTAAGAGGGTCTCACAACAAATCTTGGATGCAATCAGTGGAAATGGAGAATGAGAAGCAACAACAACATTCATAAACTGTTTAAATCACCACTTACTGCTGGCATCATAAGGACTAATCGACTGCGATGTTTGGAGCAGGGGGAGAGAATCTGTGATGTTTGGAGCAGGGGGAGAGAATCTGTGATGTTTGGAGCAGAGGAAGAAAATCTGCGATGTTTGGAGCAGGGGGAGAGAATCTGTGATGTTTGGAGCAGGGAGAGAGAATCTGTGATGTTTGGAGCAGAGGGAGAGAATCTGTGATGTTTGGAGCAGAGGGAGAGAATCTGTGATGTTTGGAGCAGGGGGAGAGAATCTGTGGTGTTTGGAGCAGGGGGAGGGAATCTGTGATGTTTGGAGCAGAGGGAGAGAATATACGATGTTTGGAGTAGGGGGAGAGAATCTGTGATGTTTGGAGCAGGGGAAGAGAATAATAGAGAGACAAAAACCTCAAAAACAAAAGAGCTGAACAGCAGTAGACAATGAGATGGTAGAGAGACAACATACAGGCAGACCTTGTGGACACTTGGAGTCACCAACTGGAAAGAGAAACCACTCACAGAGATCAAAGAAGGCAGATGATATCGGCAGCAATGAACCTCAAGGGCTCGGAATGCTCGAGAAGAAAAAGATAAATATTTCCCGTCACAGCATCCAGATGTCTTCTTCTTCGTTCACCGGCTGTGAATTCTGGCGGAAGGTCCCGGTTAGTCGTCCGTTTGAATTTTTGACTTTTACCTGGACCTGAGTTTTGCGTGTACAACCGTTTTACTAGCTTTTGCCATTCCCTGCCTCACAGGCAGATGTACTCCAGACTTCGAGGGAAGACGTCAGGCCTATTTCTAGGATGACTGTGGCCATTGTTTAATGTGGGTCAAACCTCCAGATGTGAATCAGACCACATAAAAATTATCAAAGAAGAATATCAGGCTGGGTGACAGTTTAACAAGAACAGGTCGACTTCTCGCCCTAGCTGCCATTACTGCCTGTGTTTTACCATTTTTGAGGTGTATGCAGGGGAGGGGGTCTTTGAGCCTGAGGATTTACAGCCACATGGCTAGTGCTGTTGCCACAGACTGTGCACGTTAAGATTCTATTTCCCCTGATGAAAAAAATCCACAACCCTACCGCGGATTTGAATCTGGGTCTCCCACATAAAAGCCCAGTGTGCTTATCCATTCGGTCAGCTGCTTGACTACCTGGTCAGCTGCTTGACTATCCGGTCAGCTGCTTGACTATCCGGTCAGCTTGTTTACTATCCGGTCAGCTGCTTGACTAACCAGTCAGCTGCTTGACTATCTGGTCAGCTGCTTGACTATCCGGTCAGCTGCTTGACTATCCGGTCAGCTGCTTGACTATCCGGTCAGCTGCTTGACTATCCGGTCAGCTGCTTGACTCTCCGCCACCCAGGCAAAATTATAAAAGCTACACACACAAAATATCTACAGCATTATTCTAGCAAACAATCATGTGAATCATCGCAGGTGCTTTGAAATGCATGCACTGTGCTGAAATTCTCTTCGTTTGGTCTACAGGAAGACAGTGGAAAACTTAAAGAAATATTTATGTGCAATCAAACTGACCCCTTCTCAAACTAAACTAACCAAAAAAAACAAGAACAAATATATCTAGAGTGCAGACCTGATAAGGAAGACTCACGAGGACCAAGAAATGGTTTTTCTTATCAGAAATTCCTCTTATCTGGATAAGAGTTTGAGCATCAAATATTCCCAGAGATAAATTCTTCACAACAGAAATTCTTCATATCCAAGATCGCCTTAAGTGGTCTGCACTGAACATCACAAGACTTTCCTCCAATGTTCCTTCAATTCTGACATATCCTTTTTCTCTTGCAATTAAAAGCTAAAGTGACAGTCGAGAGGACTGACTTATTGCATCACATTTAATCCAACATGACCTGGGCTTTCTCTGTGGAACAGCTAGCCACCTGCCGAAAATGTCATACAAAGTATGAATTTTATAGCTCCGATGATTATCGAACAGGGATTAAAATGGCTCCCTTAAACCGATGCGCCTGTGAAACAAAACATCGACCTTCAGAGTGTGAGGCAAAGGACTTGACCACTTTGTCATGGAAACTACAATTCCTGCTGGTCACTCACAGTTGGTCAGCATACTATCGTCTGGAAAGATGGACAGGTGCCAACCAATCAGCACACACAGAAAATACAAGTTATACCTTATAAAAGACGCGCCATCAGTCTTCCACGCACATTACCTTTTTTTGAACTCTTTTGTGAAATGCTCCAGGGCTTCTCGGTCATCATCAATGCCTTCAGGCACTTCAAACAAAACAAAAAACAACCAAGAGTAAGTCAAAATGAACCAGTGATAGTTTATCTATAACACAACTAAGTAAAATCAACAAATGATACTTTATCTATACACAGCCGGCAAGTGAAATCAACCAGTGATACTTTATACACAGCCAGCAAGTAAAATCAACCAGTGATAATTTATCTATACACAGCCAGCAAGAAAAATCAACCAGTGATAGTTTATCTATAACACAACTAAGTAAAATCAACAAATGATACTTTATCTATACACAGCCGGCAAGTGAAATCAACCAGTGATACTTTATACACAGCCAGCAAGTGAAATCAACCAGTGATAATTTATCTATACACAGCCAGCAAGTAAAATCAACCAGTGATACTTTATCTATACACAGACAGCAAGTGAAATCAACCAATGATACTTTATCTATACACAGCTAGCAAGTAAAATCAACCAGTGACACTTTATCTATACACAGCTAGCAAGTAAAATCAACCAATGATACTTTATCTATAAACAGCCAGCTAGTGAAATCAACCAGTGATACTTTATACACAGCCAGCAAGTAAAATCAACCAGTGATACTTTATCTATACACAGCCAGCAAGTGAAATCAACCAGTGATACTTTATCTATACACAGCTAGCAAGTAAAATCAACCAGTGACACTTTATACACAGCCAGCAATTAAATTCAACCAGTGACACTTTATCTATAAACAGCCAGCAAGTAAAATCAATCAGTGACACTTTATCTATACACAGCCAGCAAGTAAAATCAACCAATGATACTTTATCTATACACAGCCAGCAAGTAAAATCAACCAATGATACTTTATCTATACACAGCCAGCAAGTAAAATCAACCAATGATACTTTATCTATACACAGCTAGCAAGTAAATTCAACCAGTGACACTTTATCTATAAACAGCCAGCAAGTAAAATCAATCAGTGACACTTTATCTATACACAGCCAGCAAGTAAAATCAACCAGTGACACTTTATCTATACACAGCCAGCAAGTAAAATCAACCAGTGATACTTTATCTATACACAGCCAGCAAGTAAAATCAATCAGTGACACTTTATCTATACACAGCCAGCAAGTAAAATCAACCAGTGACACTTTATCTATACACAGCCAGCAAGTAAAATCAACCAGTGACACTTTATCTATAAACAGCCAGCAAGTAAAATCAATCAGTGACACTTTATCTATACACAGCCAGCAAGTGAAATCAACCAGTGACACTTTATCTATACACAGCCAGCAAGTAAAATCAACCAGTGATACTTTATCTATACACAGCCAGCAAGTAAAATCAATCAGTGACACTTTATCTATACACAGCCAGCAAGTAAAATCAACCAGTGACACTTTATCTATACACAGCCAGCAAGTAAAATCAACCAGTGACACTTTATCTATAAACAGCCAGCAAGTAAAATCAATCAGTGACACTTTATCTATACACAGCCAGCAAGTAAAATCAACCAGTGACACTTTATCTATACACAGCCAGCAAGTAAAATCAACCAGTGATACTTTATCTATACACAGCCAGCAAGTGAAATCAACCAGTGATACTTTATCTATACACAGCTAGCAAGTAAAATCAACCAGTGACACTTTATACACAGCCAGCAATTAAATTCAACCAGTGACACTTTATCTATAAACAGCCAGCAAGTAAAATCAATCAGTGACACTTTATCTATACACAGCCAGCAAGTGAAATCAACCAGTGATACTTTATCTATACACAGCCAGCAAGTAAAATCAACCAGTGATACTTTATCTATACACAGCCAGCAAGTAAAATCAACCAGTGATACTTTATCTATACACAGCCAGCAAGTAAAATCAACCAGTGATACTTTATCTATACACAGCCAGCAAGTAAAATCAACCAGTGATACTTTATCTATACACAGCCGGCAAGTGAAATCAACCAGTGATACTTTATTTATACACAGCTAGCAAGTAAAATCAACCAGTGACACTTTATCTATACACAGCTAGCAAGTAAAATCAACCAGTGATACTTTATATACAGCTAGCAAGTAAAATCAACCAGTGACACTTTATCTATAAACAGCCAGCAAGTGAAATCAACCAGTGATACTTTATCTATACACAGCTAGCAAGTAAAATCAACCAGTGATACTTTATATACAGCCAGCAAGTAAAATCAATCAGTGACACTTTATCTATACACAGCCAGCAAGTGAAATCAACCAGTGATACTTTATCTATACACAGCCAGCAAGTAAAATCAACCAGTGATACTTTATCTATACACAGCCAGCAAGTAAAATCAACCAGTGATACTTTATCTATACACAGCCGGCAAGTGAAATCAACCAGTGATACTTTATTTATACACAGCTAGCAAGTAAAATCAACCAGTGACACTTTATCTATACACAGCTAGCAAGTAAAATCAACCAGTGATACTTTATATACAGCTAGCAAGTAAAATCAACCAGTGACACTTTATCTATAAACAGCCAGCAAGTGAAATCAACCAGTGATACTTTATCTATACACAGCCAGCAAGTAAAATCAACCAGTGACACTTTATCTATAAACAGCCAGCAAGTAAAATCAATCAGTGACACTTTATCTATACACAGCCAGCAAGTAAAATCAATCAGTGACACTTTATCTATAAACAGCCAGCAAGTAAAATCAACCAGTGATAATTTATATACAGCTAGCAAGTAAAATGAACTTAGGGTCTTCCCTGTGTGGTCATTACACTGTGGCATATATGGCCACTGGTACCAGACATTTGCATCTTTTATGCCAAAAAGTAGGATCTTTGGATAAAAGGCATCTGAACTATTACTGTCATATAGGAGGACAGTCAATGGACTCCTGACATTTGAACCAAGGGTTTGTAATTTTGTAGGATACTCTGCCAGCAGACCTGATCATGTCCCAAATGAGTTTTCAGTGGAATGCATCTCTGGAAGCCACCAACTCCAAGATCTGCTGGCAGCTCGGTTAAGGCCAGGATAGACCATTATCAATGAGGTGTGAAAAGGACTTCGGTGAGAGTCTTGCATGAGGATCCATAAAAAGAACCCAGAGCCTTCTGGCGCCCAAGGTCTTAGACACAGCACAACAGCCTTAACTTTCCCTCATGTCTGTGAACTTACCATGCTGGATCTTCTTAACTGTGGCTTTTGATGTAGCACGGTTAAATGGGAGAAAAACCAGGAAACCAGACCTCTAGGGCGACCCAGGGTCCGCTGGGAAGACAACATCCGACAGTCCCTGATGGACAGAGGAATGGAACAAAGCCAGATAGAAAACTGCCGATAGAGAATTCTGGTGATGTCCCTGGCAAACCCCAAGGTAGAAGAGGAGCGACTAAGTAAGTAAGATGTATCATAGGTCGAGCAGATAGCTAACTAGTTTGTGGCAGACATTTCTGGCAGGCAACACAAAAGGCAATAATGTTCACATTTTCATCCGCATTCTAAAAATAAAAAGACTGGAGCATATAGTACAAGCTGGACAAATTTTGAAATCAAACACAAACACACTACAAGATGCTTGCTTCCCATACAAGCTGCAAACATGCAAGTGGTTAAGGGCAAAGGTGCCATCGACAAAGAGAGAACTCTAACATGCTGAGAAAGCCAGATCCCCATTCTGTGACCATAAACAATAATTCAAATCTGCAGACCCAGTATACAGATGTGAGGGTGAAGTCGGGTACAGGACGTGATGGAAGGCCCGGTGTACAGTTGTGAGGTTAATAGGTCGTGCATAGGACGTGATGATTACTTGGGTGAGCCTGGTGCAAGAGCGCCATTATCAGCTCTGCATTTATGGAAGCCTCATAGGATGGCAGGTCATGCCCCCCCGAGAGTCAACAAATCTGTGCAAGGCTGTCCTGGACGGCTCCTATAGGGGCAGAACCTGCTTGGGATGACAGTCACCATACGATGAGGCTGTGAAATCTCAGAAGAATCTAACCGGAAGGGCTAACTCAGAAAACAAATACCCAAAGAAGTCAGAAATGTCGGTCAAAAGGTGGAAATTCGGCAGCTATGCTGTAAACAGGCACAACATATTTACGTCATTTAGGCGAATGATGAAGAAGAAAAAGAAGAACAACTAATCTAACAAGAGAACTCCTCTTACTGTGTACACACAACACAAATATGGTCATTACTTAAAGGTTCCAGACGGCGAGATGTATTGGGTTCTTGCGAAAATAGGTCATCTTCGAGGGAGTAGTTTTCCAAACCTGTATCTTCTTCTTCATCGCTGTCGACTTCCATATCCTGAAGACATAAACAAAGCCCATACAACAATGAGGAAGGGGGTTGTAAGGTCTAAAGATGTCAAAATCCATTTGTGTCCTCTATTCATTTGGGCCAGTACACATGTCAGGAGGAATATTAAGTCTGCAACTACAGTGTCCAGTGTGGACTCAGAATGAAGAGACAATAATCACTTTTTTAAATGAAAAACTGGAATGCCATTTCATAAAGCAGCTGGCTCAATCTCTATTCTCATGCAGATGACTGTTTTCTGAACACTCGCAACTTAGCAACGACCCTTAACCCTCTCACACTGGCCAAGAGAGACAAGTTTGAAAATCTATCATATGATCAGTTTCTAAGTCGTCCCTACCACTGCAATATTCTCTGCATTCAGTTCCAATTATGATCATCGTAATCATTAACAAATTGTTATATGCATTCCTTATTGATTCTCTCTTTACATAATTTTTTTTTTATAAACCCCCCCCCCCCCCCCCCCCCAAAAAAAAACACAGACAACTAAACTGTAAAACAATATCTTGTGACCTAAGCACAATTTTTTTTAGGATTTCTGGGAATTTCCAGGAGTTGTGGAATATTTTTAGTGGTCCCGGCGCGAATGGTTAAATATGACAACAAAAAGGCAAACAAATATAAAAATCTTACTTCTGATTCAGGTTTGGGTGTGACGGCAGATTCAGCTTTTGTAACTTCTAATTCATGAGTTGGATAATTGAGGCCACAATCGAACAGTTTCTCCTGAAAGGCAACAACCACTGTTGAATTAATCCTCCTCTAATGCGATCGCCTGTCATTACAATAAAATGCTATCAATACTAAACTGGTTGCCGTAGATTGATGGATTTCTTCTTAAGAGCATGGAGAATGGAGCACTGATAGATGCGTCATGGAGAATGGAGCACTGATAGATGTGTCATGGAGAACGGAGCACTGATAGATGTGTCATGGAGAACGGAGCACTGATAGATGTGTCATGGAGAATGGAGCACTGATAGATGTGTCATGGAGAATGGAGCACTGATAGATGCGTCATGGAGAATGGAGCACTGATAGATGTGTCATGGAGAATGGAGCACTGATAGATGTGTCATTGAGAATGGAGCACTGATAGATGCGTCATGGAGAATGGAGCACTGATAGATGTGTCATGGAGAATGGAGCACTGATAGATGTGTCATGGAGAATGGAGCACTGATAGATGTGTCATGGAGAATGGAGCACTGATAGATGCGACATGGAGAATGGAGCACTGATAGATGTGTCATGGAGAATGGAGCACTGATAGATGCGTCATGAGAATGGAGCACTGATAGATGTGTCATGGAGAATGGAGCACTGATAGATGTGTCATGGAGAATGGAGCACTGATAGATGTGTCATGGAGAATGGAGCACTGATAGATGTGTCATGGAGAATGGAACACTGATAGATGTGTCATGGAGAATGGAGCACTGATAGAAGCGTCATGAGAATAGAGCACTGATAGATGTATCATGGAGAATGGAGCACTGATAGATGTATCATGGAGAATGGAGCACTGATTGATGTGTCATGGAGAATGGAGCACTGATAGATGTGTCATGGAGAATGGAGCACTGATAGATGTGTCATGGAGAATGGAGCACTGATAGATGTGTCATGGAGAATGGAGCACTGATAGATGTGTCATGGAGAATGGAGCACTGACAGATGTGTCATGGAGAATGGAGCACTGACAGATGTGTCATGGAGAATGGAGCACTGATAGATGTGTCATGGAGAATGGAGCACTGATAGATGTGTCATGGAGAATGGAGCACTGATAGATGTGTCATGGAGAATGGAGCACTGACAGATGTGTCATGGAGAATGGAGCATTGATAGATGTGTCATGGAGAATGGAGCACTGATAGATGTGTTCAGAGTACAATGATGAGAGCCCAGGGAACTGAAGCACAGACACACATAAAGAAAATGTATGATCCTATATCAGATAAAATCCACCAGGCACTGGGCTGAAGCTAAAATATATAAAGCACGCTCAGAAAACCCGACAAATCTTGGCGTATTCTTAGCCAGTGCCAACCTGATCTCATATTACATGACTCGACCCAGTGTTGATGCTATTTTCCTTATGTTTATACCAGGCATACACATCTTCCTGCTTGCTGAGAGAAACAAGAAAAGAGAAACTTGCCTGGTCAGTAACTGGTCTTGGCCAACCGTTCCACTCTTGGAACCGAACTGGGACATCAGTCAAAGTAAATACTGACTGCTTCACCTGAACAACGAAAGAACAAACTTCAGAAATCAAACAAATAACGACACACCAAGGAAAGCATCAACTACAGGTGTTCAGCATTACAAAAATGTAATTTTTTTTGGTCGGGGGGGGGGGGGGGGAGAAGATTGATGTTTTGGTGGCTAGCAATAGTCGGCTAAGACACAAGAACGCTTACAACTGAGACTAAAATATCCCTAAAATTATGACACAGTGGTTTAATATGCAAATGCATCTTCTTCTTTCTTAACACTGTGGGGGTTCTGGGGCCCCATTGCGGGGAAAACAAGATCAAGACCCACACCTCCCCAAAAGCATGCTGCAAAAGTCGACTAACTGGAAGCTTCCTTCGAAGTCAGAGTGTATCTGCCTGAGAGGCAAGAAACCAACAGTCTGCAAAAAACTTAGTCTGATCTATAACATGGATGTGCAGGCGACATTAAAGTTCTGGAGGAGGGCCAAGTCCAGAAGCGGATGAGCAACCACATGTTTCCGCTAAAATTTACAGCCGGTGAACGTGAAAAGAAGAAGAGTTCCCCGTTTACCGCTTCAGGTGTTTTGGAAGAAAAAAGGTTCTGCTTCTGGCTGCATACACCACAGATACATCCTGCAGTTGCAGAGATTCTCTGACGCTTTCTTTTCATATTGTTCTTGGTCTACCTCGTGCTCAACGACCTTATGCAAATGCACAATAGTAAGTCAGTAAAGAACCCTTACTGTCAGTGCCATAAGGGACATATGGTGCTAAGCTCATACTTTATAGACCCAATGGCACTCAGTGGGTACATGGTCAACAACCCACTGGCACTCAGTGGGTGCATGGTCAACATCCCACTGGCACTCAGTGGGTACATGGTCAACATCCCACTGGCACTCAGTGGGTACATGGTCAACAACCCCCTGGCCCTCAGTGGGTGCATGGTCAACAACCCACTGGCACTCAGTGGGTACATGGTCAACAACCCACTGGCACTCAGTGGGTACATGGTCAACAACCCACTGGCACTCAGTGGGTGCATGGTCAACAACCCACTGGCACTCAGTGGGTGCATGGTCAACAACCCACTGGCACTCAGTGGGTGCATGGTCAACAACCCACTGGCACTCAGTGGGTACATGGTCAACAACCCACTGGCACTCAGTGGGTGCATGGTCAACAACCCACTGGTACTCAGTGGGTGCATGGTCAACAACCCAATGGCACTCAGTGGGTGCATGGTCAACAACCCACTGGCACTCAGTGGGTGCATGGTCAACAACCCACTGGCACTCAGTGGGTACATGGTCAACAACCCACTGGCACTCAGTGGGTACATGGTCAACAACCCACTGGCACTCAGTAGGTACATGGTCAACAACCCACTGGCACTCAGTGGGTACAGGGTCAACAACCCACTGGCACTCATTTTATGGTCAACATCCCACTGGCCCTCAGTGGGTGCATGGTCAACATCCCACTGGCACTCAGTGGGTGCATGGTCAACATCCCACTGGCACTCAGTGGGTACATGGTCAACATCCCACTGGCCCTCAGTGGGCGCATGGTCAACAACCCACTGGCACTCAGTGGGTACATGGTCAACAACCCACTGGCCCTCAGTGGGGGTACATGGTCAACAACCCACTGGCACTCAGTAGGTACATGGTCAACAACTAACTGGCACTCAGTGGGGGTACATGGTCAACAACCCACTGGCACTCAGAGGGGGTACCTGGTCAACATCCAACTGGCACTCAGTGGGTACATAGTCAACATCCCACTGGCCCTCAGTGGGTACATGGTCAACAACCTACTGGCACTCAGTGGGTACATGGTCAACAACCAACTGGCACTCAGTGGGTACATGGTCAACAACCCACTGGCACTCAGTGGGTGCATGGTCAACAACCCACTGGCACTCAGTGGGTACAGGGTCAACATCCCACTGGCCCTCAGTGGGTACATGGTCAACAACCCACTGGCACTCAGTGGGGGTACCTGGTCAACATCCCACTGGCCCTCAGTGGGTGCATGGTCAACAACCCACTGGCACTCAGTGGGTACATGGTCAACATCCCACTGGCCCTCAGTGGGTGCATGGTCAACAACCCACTGGCACTCAGTGGGGGTACCTGGTCAACATCCCACTGGCACTCAGTGGGTGCATGGTCAACATCCCACTGGCACTCAGTGGGTGCATGGTCAACAACCCACTGGCCCTCAGTGGGTACATGGACAATTTCCTTATGGCACTCAGTGGGTACATGGTCAACATCCCACTGGCACTCAGTGGGTGCATGGTCAACATCCCACTGGCACTCAGTGGGTGCATGGTCAATATCTCACTGGCACTCAGTGGGTACATGGTCAACATCCCACTGGCACTCAGTGGGTGCATGGTCAACATCCCACTGGCACTTTTCGATCTAGTGCCTATTTTAAGCTGGGCTGACCTGGGAGCCAAGGTCAGCTGAAAACAAAAAAATCCACGTTGATGTGGAATCATATTCATAATTGTTGTTCTTTTGTCTTCTCCTGATCACTGTCTGATTTACAGCGACAGATGAGTTCTTGTGATAAAACCAACTGTTTTTATGAGTTCCAATTTAGTTGTATACAACTTTGTGTACAGTGATGACTCACTGGGCCAGTATTCCCTTCCTAATGAGCTTTACAAGGGACATTCTTGCAGGACATGTTCTGCAGTTTGCACACACAGCCTGCACAGGTACAATGTTGAACTACTTATACAAAGCCTGTACATTTGCTTTGTCCACACTTAAAATGAATTGTTTAAAATGTTGTGGTTTACAGCTAGGCTAGCATATCTGCACCTCTGAGCTCAATACATATGATTTTAACCCAGTTTTTCACCATTTTATGACCGGTGTGTGACCCCCCCCCCCCTCCCCAATGGGAGCACTGAATAATACAAAAAAAAGGCCAACTTCAGTGCAAATGAACATTCTATAAGAGCTCCAGTTACCTCCTATAGATTACACATGGAGAATTTCACCCCAGTGCTCACAATTTTTAGATACAAATGGGTGTACATCATAATCACATATATGATAAATATTTTTTTTAAAATCTAATCTGGAAAATTCTACTGTTTTACTGAGAAAGAAAAAAGCAAATGAATAAATTTAAAAAAAAAAGCAGTGGGCAACTCACATCATTAACAGTTTTGTTACAGGCATATTTTAGGTTGAAAACCTTATATTTGGAGCCATCTGTAAATGTAATTTTCAGCATGTACTCTCTATCACCTTCAAGTCCCTGTGAGGTCCTGCAACAGAATGGGACAATCATCCTCATAAACAGGCAATCTACAATCAGAACATAAAGGAGTGGATAGGGAAAGGAGAAGAGCGTGCGAGCGTGTGTGCACGCGCAGGCACACAAATCAATGTAGGGGACAGTTCCTCATTGTGAGAGGCAGCCACATCTTTTCTGGCTTTCCCTGCCTGATCAGTGTGTCCACTCTGGGCTACCATCTAAAGGTTTACCATAACGACTAAGATTGAAAACTGTCAACCTGGATGGTAGACCCACAAAGCAGATCCCAGATCCCAGTTCAACCCCCAAAAAGGTTATGAGGGATCCAGCAACAGCTTTACCAGCCATGTGTAACCTACAGCCTTGTGCGGGTACGGAAGGTGATTTTCCCTGCTTCTATCTAGCTCATTTGAGGCTCCAAGAATTCACAAGTACCACAGTCTAGCATTTCTGTGGTCTGCCATTTCACTGTTAGCTGGCAACTTATCTTATGGATTACAATTCCCAGTCAAATATTGTCATGAGACCAAATAAAGCAATTTTGAGAGGGGAGCTTCTATTTAGACTGGACAGATTCAAACATTTCCTCTAATACACAAACAGTATGGATGTTGTATTATACACCATCTCATCATTACCATCAAGTGCCCACTGGTGTGGACGATAATATCTCTCCACAACCTGTTATCGCCAATAGCATGTATCAGTTCATGTGCTGACAACCCTCTATGCGACAACAAAAGGTTGTCAAGAATCTTCTCGCTTTGTCTTCTCCTATCTCTGTTTCCACGGATCTTTCCAATGGTCATAACATGTTCCAGTTTCCATCTTACCATAATATGAACTCATAATGATGACTGTCTCCTCTGAAGTTTGTGATAAGCTGTCTTCTGGCCCTCACATGTTTTTAACCACCTGGATGATTCATTCTGATTGTCCAAGAAATTGTAAGCATTCTCTGCTAAACCACACCTCTGAGGCCTCAAGAAATTGTTTGGCTTGCTTATTAATTGTACAGGATTTACAGCTGTATGTTATGAAATCTAGTTTAACAATAAGATTCTAAAGCTGTAAACTTCAGTGAATTATGCCAGCTAACATGCATTCACAGTGAGGCAAAACAAAGAGTCAACAAGTGACAACATTTCAATTCATGGTGACTTTGAACGTACCCTTGACCCTCCTGAGAGACTGCTTTGTTTATTGTGGGACTTGTGATGTCTGGTGTCAGTAGACAGAGAGTCTTCTCTCGTGGCAGGTACAGATCTCGCAGAAGTGTCTGAAATCACAAACCAAACTGGCATATCAAACCATTAATACCTTTAATTGGATGACAAAGACTCCGTAACTGCTACATCCTACATGCACTAGACAAATATGACTCGACAAAGTCAATCAAAGAAAGTAAATGTTAGCCCGAGTACAATAGTCGTAGTAAGTTTAACCTCACCAGGACATCACACAGAGCGATAAACACATGGTGACACAAAGTGCCAGCATGTGGATGAGGATCACCTGTAGAGAGGTCAGAGAAACTGCGTTCAACCGTTAGGTTATATTGCGGCCCCCGGCAAAAGCTAGTTTGTGGCTTCAAAATAACGAAAAACTGCATCCCACAAGGGGATGACGTTGTAATAACTGTTAGCCTAACATGCAAATCATTAAAGACAAGTAATTAGAGATTTCCTGAAACCAGCCGTGTTGGACCAAATGGTGCACTTATCAGTCTTGCTGTAAATCACAACACAATCTGCTAACCAACCTTTTAAGAGAAACTGAAAAAGAACAAGAAATGTTAGCTACTTCAGGAAAAAGGCTAACAAAAATAAAGAAAAAATAGTACTTTATACTCTTCACATTGTAGCTGAAACACAAGACGTTCACAAGCGATCTCCATTACTGCCGGTCTGTTGCTTTTCAGCCGGTGCGATCCACTGTCAATTTACATTCCTTAAGTTCCTTTTCTATGGCCCCCCTTCAGTTTTCCTTATGCCGTCAATATCTCCTTTTGCCATCTGCCGTCCATGGGAGAGCTTTCCTTGCCAAAGTGTCAGGAGGCATGCTGTGTCCAAGCCATCTCCACCATCTTCCTTTCATAATGTTTGTCAGTGACCCATGTTTTCTTTTCCTCTTTAGTATTTCATCTGTGATATTGTCTTGCCAAAATATTGGCAGGATTCTCAAGTACTCTGATGCTTGTGCTTATCCAGCTTGAGATCCTATCACGTATCAAGCTTCCAACAGCATGTCTGAAAGGGACTCAGTCTCTAGTCAGATCTCAAACCTTGTCCACCCTTCTCTGCAGGGTGTCACACATCCTGTGCCTACCTTTGCGCTGGTGGACCATCGTTCCTCTTTTCTGGTATCCTTCCCTACTATTCTTTCCAACCTGCTGTGACGCTTTAGACTAGTAAAATAATTCAGTGTTGGAGACAAGGTGCTGTTTACTAACTTGAGATATGCAAGTACAAACCGATTTTTAATCATAGCCATATAAACAAAGAGGCCAACAGACAACAAAAACAACAGTATGCCTTTGCTGTATCGTACCGAGTCATCGACTTTACGTTTGACCAGACCTTTCAGCTGCTGCTTGTCGGGTGGGATTCCCAGTTCTGTTTCCAACATTTCCTTGATACGCCCTGCAACATGAATCAAGATTTATGGTTTTAATTAAAATCTGGTTTTTTTTTACACCCCGCGACACAAACAACTCAAGATTCGCTGATACATCTTGCGACATGATTAAAGATTTACTGGTTTTAATATTAACTTACTTTGATACACCCTGCAACATGACTCAGGATTTACTGATTTCATCATCACCAGGTGCCTTGCCGACTGGCGTGGGCGATAATGCCTCTCCATAATAAACGATCTCCTGCAGTATGTATCAGTTCGTGTGCCGACACACCTCCATGCCATGCAACAAGACTGTCAAGCATCTTCTCTCATTGTCTTCTTCCATCCCTCCTTCCACAGATCTTTCCAGTGGTCACAACATGTTCTATTTTCCCTCTTCTCATAACATGGCTGAAAAATGATGACTGTCTCCTTCTGATGTCTGTGATAAGTTGTTTTTGGGCTCCCCCCCTCTTTCAAAATACTGATTTCAACAAAACTATATATAAAAAAAAAAACCTTTTTCTTTTGCCTAGGTATTTCCCTCTGAAAAACTTTCAATTTCACATGCACGTTCGGACACAGAGAAACTCTAGTCTTGTTCAGTATACTGGCACTGTCTCTGTCCTGAGCTGCATGAATAGGGACCACAAAGCTGCCACTAGTTATTTTTTTTTAGGGGTATGTATTTCGGCATAAAACCACTGGTTTGAAAATCCTGACTTCTTTCATTATTTTTCTTCTTTACTCCTGGAATGCCTCGCAGTGTCAGGGCAGGAAAATATATCTGGAATGGGCACTTTCGTTCACTTCATATACAGTACTTTTCAGTGTTAGTACACAATTTCACCATAAGTACAGGAGCTCCTTGATGCTATGAGGTGTATTAGGTATAAGAAAAGTAGCCCAGACCACCCCCCCTCCCCCTTTCTCTTCATAATTAATTCAAAGTAAGATTATTGTGTGTAACATTATGTAACAATACAAACAATAATTAGATTATGTGAAAATATCAGACACTCTAGGATTATATTCAAACACCAGACATGGTGATATGTTCAGATATTAGAAATTGTAAAATTATGTGACCATACCTAACTTAGTGAAACAATAGTTACATTAAGAAACAGCACTGAGGTGAGGTATGATAAGACTTGAATGGACAGACTAGGAACAAGTTTTTACAGAAACGAACAAAATACCAATATGTTGTACTCCCCAGAAAATTTTACAGTACTAATTTTGGTGACATCAGTAAAACATCTGAGTTTTGAAGAGATTGAAGTCTAGTATCACCATGCGGGTCTGCTAGTTACTTTGCAATCACTGCTGACTGAAAATTCTAAACACATGATAAATTTGATTTACAAGAATACCCACCAACAACCTCTGCACTGTGTCTAAAAGACAGAGCCTCAGTGGATGTGTCTTTAGTGCATGATAAACTCTAACTAGAACACTCACTTCTAACTAGAACACTCACCTCTAACTAGAACACTCACCTCTAACTAGAACACTCACCTCTAACTAGAACACTCACCTCTAACTAGAACACCCACCTCTAACTAGAACACTCACCTTTAACTAGAACACTCACCTCTAACTAGAACACTCACTGTAATGGGGGATATTTTCACCCTGATTAGGAAGGTTGGGAGGAAAGCCCAAGGTTAACCAGAATACCGAGAAAAGCCAACCGAGGTTTTCAAGATAGGTGATGACCACGAGTTATCAAGTGGAACCCGATGATAGCGACCACAGGTCGCCATGTGGAAGTAAAGGACCACCATGTGTTGCCACGTAAAACAAACACGGGGTATAGATTCAGACCCTAGTCTGATCAAGTTAGTATGTTTTGAACTGTCGGAGTGAAAGGACGGGAGATTGATTGAGAGAATGCCAATGTGAGACTGATTGATGTGAGAGGAAAAACAGACGAGGACATCCATTTGAAGCCAAGACCAGCCAGGCCAGTCTGTATGAAGTCGAGGAAAAGAACCAGATACATCTGTGGGAACTCTGGTCAGTGACTGGGTGAGAAACCCGCATATTGGAGTCTAGTAATGTGGCGTGTAAAAGCTGTTTCTTAGGACAAGGACCGGACATTGATGTAAGTGATAAGATATCAATAAACTGACGTATCGTACTGCTAATTCGGTGTCGGATTGTCCCAGTTATGTCATCGTACAATGTGTGCTAAGAGCATTCACTACACATATCATCTCCTAGACACCAGCCAGTGCAAGCAGAGTTAGTACAAAACACGACTTATTGCACTCACCTACAGTCTCTGTGTCAGGCAGAACCACAGGTATGTTTCTATCTCTGTACTCAACATTGAAGTGAATCATTCGACTAGTGAAGTTCAAAGGTGAAGAGCTGTAGGAGGGACCAGATGCCATATCCGACGCACCATGGTCCGACGGCCGTACATGCACCCCCATTCCATCTAATGACCTCTGTGACCCTAACCCAAGTGAGGCCTGCTGGGATAGATCTTCTTGAAGCTCGGCCATGGAAGGCCCTATCTCATCTGGCGCGAAACCACTTCCTTCTGATGGACCAAAACCCATGATGCTGTTAACCGCTCTCTGAAAGAGATTACAAGAGAAGTGTTCCACAAGTTTTATTACAATTATTTGTCAACTTATGTCCAATCCATTCTATTTTTGTTTTGTTGCTGGCATCTTTTCCTCTTTCCGGAGATATTGTTACACTGTCCTTCATGAAGCAATGGAAAACAAAACCCACGGCCGCATCAACTGGGCTCAGGGATACAGTTCCTCAATGCCTATGCAGCACAATCACTCTCTCTGCCTGTCTTGTTAACGCCATAGAGAAGCTAACACTGATATGTTTGGAATAAAGTATGTGAAAGAAGCTGCAGCATTAGAAGACCTCTGCTCAGTCTGACAAACTTTCGGAGCTTGCATCCTAGACCTGCTACCAATTAAGAATCCACTCTGTAGGAGCCACGGTACTGCAGCTGGCTGTTGATCCTACAGGTCTTTGGTTGATCTGAATTCTGATGGTCTGTAATTTGTTTAAGGACTGCATCACTGAGCTTATCAGTGCAGTATTTTCAGATACCTTACGGTCATCACTAGGGCTATGGAGTTTGTGCTCCATGTGACTCTATCTGTAGTTGGCCAACCACTCTTTTGAGAAAGAAAAAGAGAGAGAGTTAGAGAGACAGAGAGGGAGAGAGAAAGAGAGATGGAGGGAGAGAGAGAGGCAGAGAGTGAGAGACAGAGAGAGAGACAGAGAGAGAGAATATATAACGCAGAGTAGTGAAGTTGATCAGGTAACCACAGTTCTAACATTACAGTCAACAGGCCAAACCTCCAAGGCTGCTCCCCTTCTGTGCCAAAGAAAACCACATAAAATGTCCGTTGCTGCCCCTTGACAAAAAACAAAAACCGGCACAGACTGCAGTCTTAGTAAATCCAGCAGTATATATACGCATTAAATGCATCAGGCAGCAGTCAAAGTGCCAACACAAACAGACCGACACTAGAAATGCTGATCATCATCAACGGAAGCAGCAGCTACAACAGACTGAACGCACAATTAATTAATCAGATAAGGCACTGCTTGCCCTTTCTGAATCTGCAGTTCTCAACATAAACCACACTGAGCACAGTCTATCCACCATACTGACCGGTGGATACTTTCCTGCCTCATGCGTTTTCCTACCCAAAGGTTACTATATCCTGTGTCCACCTCCATACTGGTCAGCGGTTGACCCTAATGCTGGTACCATGCCTTCTGTTATTATTGTCTCCAATCCACCATGTCCTTGATATGGCAAAACTTTGTCACCCAAAATGTATATGTATTGTCACGTTTCTAACCAGTGTAATGACATTTTCAAACAATTGCTAGTTGCTAGGACAGCACCATTTGTCTACTGAACCATTACTCTCCCTATGTGGGTCCTGAGGTCCCAGTCTGTGTGTGTGTGGAGGGGGGGGGGGATACCCACTTCCCTTTAATAAGCAAGTTGTTAAAGATGACTAATTAAGGGTCTGCTGAAATAATATGTGTGCGCTGAAAAGTGCCGATATCGATGACTAGCTGCAAACCACAACACAAAATGTCAAACAAGAAGCCACAAGAATATGCTCGGACAGTCCAAGTGAACAGCCAGTCCATTCACATTGGGCTTGAGAGCTCAAGCTCAAGCTCATCTCCCAGATAACTGACGGTGCCCAGCCAACCATTTCCCTGGACAAACACACCCAACAATTACCTCCAGATTCCAGTCATGTTCTGTCAGAATGTTGGTACACAGATCAAAGTCCTCAATTCCAGTCACTGCCTGCAGAACAATGAAACCAGAGTACTTCAAAACTATACTAGTAACATCTACATTCAAAGGTAGAAGAGTGACACCATTTACCACAAACTTCATCTCGTCGTCTCAACTTGTCCTGCCACTGGATGCAGATGAGAGAGTGAGGTCGACAACATTGCGCAACTCTTCCTCACTTTAAATCAATTCATTGTGCAAGTAATTTTTTTTTTCATTCATAATTCATGCAACCGACTTGACAGTGTTCCCTGCCCCCATTGCCTTAGATTTGGGCTAGTGAACTGACAGCCCATGGCCAAATTTGTCACATGGAAGCCTAGCAAGTCACCCATTGATCACTGCAAATTAGATTTAATTAATGATCATTCTATGCTGGGGCCTGTAAAGATCCCCATCTGCAAAATGTTGGCCCAGAAAAAACTGGTGAATATTTCTGGCAGAGATCTCAACTCACAGATAAGTGACTATAAGTGTTACAATTTATAAGTGTATTTTTATTTATTTGCATGACATGCTAACAAAAGCTTTCTAGCCAAAACATTCACTTGTGATTGTGATCAAGTGAGGCTGACTGGTTCAACTTCCTGTTTGGTTTTATCTCTATCTAAAATAAATCAAAAAATGATGCCACATGAGTTTAAAACTATACTGGTAACATTTACATTTAACCAGTTAATCTTAAGTTTTCCAGGTGTTAACTAGAGCCCAGAAAGGAATGCAAAAAAAATCAACATTATGATAAACTACCAAACAAAGAATAGCAACTCTATAACCATGTGATCAAGGATGATTTGTGTGACACTGATCGCAAAGAACAGCTGATTCGGTTGAGTCACGACCCGACATCACAGCACAAGTTGTGCAGAGGCAGCCAGTCTGTCCGCCTGTTCATTTCCTAACACACCGGTGTGTCCCGGACAAAAAATCCAGACACCTGCGCCCTCTGCAGTGAAGCATGCCACTCTGCACAAAGAATGCCTGTCCTGACCTTCCTCAGCATGCCATCTGAGTCAGCTACAAAAAGCTGCAGTGACCACCTACATTCTTAAGCTGGACGGTGTGGTATCATATGCTAGGCACTCCTGCACTAAACGTCAACCATTAACCTTTGCTAAGAACCCCCAAGCACTTCTTTTGCCTCTTGACACTAAACCGTCTGTGTAAATAATCAAATCCTCTGAGCGAGCATTATCTTGAATTAAATGCAGAATTGTCACCTCCGTGGCACCCGCTGGCCAGTCTCTGCATTCCCGGCTCAATGTGATTATGACCCTACACAAGTCTGACTGTTCAGCTGGCACCTTGACCCACTCCTCTTCTCACCGAATGTTCTTCAGGATGCATATATGCCTGACTGTGTCTTCTGCCTGAGCCACCCATGACTTCCCTCTTATCAGCCGCCATGTGGAGAGTGTTGTGACAAGGTGCCAAAAGAACAGATGATAAGTTCAACCATGTAAGACACAAATATGAAGGACCCTTTTAATGCCAGTAGTAGACAGCAAGTGAAATGGTTTGCCCACTTAGAGAGAATGCCTTGTGACACCATACCATACAAAGCATACATGGAAAGAGAAGGACGTAGAGCAAGAGGTAGACCAAGAACAATATGGAAGGATAACATCAGAGAAGCTCTACAACAGCACAATGTGCCTATGGTCGAGGCGGCCAGAAGAGCCAGAAACAGAATCTTACATCTCCCTCGACACCCACAGCGGTAAAAGAGGAAGTGAAGAAGAAGAAGAAGTGGACGTGTGATGCTGTTTATGTTTATGTAACAAACTGGTCCTCAATAGGTGATGTGGTCAACATGATGCCGGCCACCTTGACTTTCCAGGGTATTATATGCTACCTGTTTTAGACAGGCCCAGTCTGGCTATCAAGGTCAATTCTGGACACATCTGATTCAAAGTGGATTAGATAAACCAATCATGAAGTGGATTAGATAAACCAATCATGAAGTGGATTAGATAAACCAATCATGAAGTGGATTAGATAAACCAATCGTGAAGTGGATTAGATAAACCAATCATGAAGTGGATTAGATAAACCAATCATGAAGTGGATTAGATAAACCAATCATGAAGTGGATTAGATAAACCAATCATGAAGTGGATTAGATAAACCAATCATGAAGTGGATTAGATAAACCAATCATGAAGTGGATTAGACAACTCAGTCAAGAGGTAGATTAGACAAACCAATCACAAACAACTCTGCACATGATCAGCTGGTTCAGGGTCACTGCTCCATTGGAATTAGCACTGACCCGAATAGTACTAAGTATCTCAGCAGACAGCCGCTGACACCCTTCTATCTTGCCACACAACAGTAACAGACTATACCACAGGAACTATGACCCATGGCAATGACAAGTGCCACTAGCAGGACAATCTTGTGTCACCAGTTTTCCCCCCCTACATGTGAGGGTCACTGTGTTCCCCCCCCCCCACCTGTGAGGGTCACTGTGTTTTACCCCTACGTGTGAGGGTCACTATGTTCCCCCCCCCCCCCCCCCCCCCCCTACCTGTGAGGGTCACTGTTCCTACAGTATGCTTTGTTGATTTTTAATTTATGTGCAAAGACTCCGCTCTCAGTTAATTAGCAATCTTCTCTTTACTCTCTGTAGTATGATCACCGGTATCCTATTTCTGTGATTTCATCTCAACACCACTTGCTTGCATTTTCATATCCAACCTTAGGCTGGCCCCGAGTGCCTTATGACCATTTGTAAAATACATAACATCTGGAATCTACAGATCATAGGATCACATAGTGACTAACTGACTGGTTACCTAAACTGAATCTCTACATTCCAGAGTGACCAAGTGACTGGTTACATAAACTGAATCTCTACATTCCAGAGTGACTGGTTACATAAACTGAATCTCTACGTTCCAGAGTGACCAAGTGACTGGTTATATAAACTGAATCTTTACATTCCAGAGTGACTGGTTACATAAACTGAATCTCTACGTTCCAGAGTGACCAAGTGACTGGTTACATAAACTGAATCTCTACATTCCAGAGTGACCAAGTGACTGGTTACATAAACTGAATCTCTACATTCCAGAGTGATCAAGTGACTGGTTACATAAACTGAATCTCTACATTCCAGAGTAACAAAGTGAATTGTTTATTCATTCACTGTCCTATTGTTCCATTATATATCACATAGGGGTCCCAGTCTATTTCTCCATTCCGTTCTATTTTGCGCAGTCACATGGATACCATGAATGGAACCCAGTCCAGCACTTTTTGCTTCTTACATCAATGTTCACTTCATAGTTGCTCTTGGACATTCTTGTTTAATCGATCTCTATATTTATGATATTAGTGCCTGCTCTGTGATTCTTTACTTGTTTCTTCTCACAATGTGTCCACTATAACGCCATTTTCTCTGGCTTATAGCTGTTGATACCAGTGGCTGCTCAGACATTTCTCTGCCTTATAGCTGCTGATACCAGTGGCTGCTCAGACATTTCTCTGGCTTATAGCTGCTGATACCAGTGGCTGCTCAGACATTTCTCTGGCTTATAGCTGCTGATACCAGTGGCTGCTCACATTTCTCTGGCTTATAGCTGCTGATACCAGTGGCTGCTCAGACATTTCTCTGGCTTATAGCTGCTGATACCAGTGGCTGCTCAGACATTTCTGATGGCTTATAGCTACGGTCCTAAATTACCGGGGCGGAAATTATACCCTAACAGGGCCTCAGTCACGTGTCAATTGCGTACTTCCGGGGACTATATCGCCACCGCCCAATTGCGATGGCTAGGAGTCACAAGCAAATAAAATAAAGGCAGCTGCAGGAGATGTGATAGCTGCTGCTAGTGAGTCCTAGCCATCTAGTGTAGCCCCAATCTACGCCGCTCACGCGGCATGGGGGTCACTCTCGGTTGCCGAAAGTTTGCAATTCGACGGCGGCGGAGGTCGCCGGATGCTCGCATTTCAAGACGACGGAACTGCGCAATTGACACGTAACTGCGCAATTGACACGTAACTGAGGCCCTGTTAGGGGATATTTTCCGCCTCGATAATTTAGGATCGTTATTCGGAGGCTAGCCTAAATTTATTAGTATTATACTGATGTAAAGACTTAATAAATAATTAAGGTAACGATAGATGGACGCCTTTGAAGTAATCTTTTAAAACGGTTTCAAATGTTGATCTGGTATCTTTGCATTATTTCCGAAACATACATCGTATAAGAGTCTAGAGCTAGACAGTTCGTCAGTTAGCTTAGCAGTTCGTCAGAGAACAGAAAGAAGAAAAGAAAAAAAAAAACAGCTGATTTTTGTAGCTGGTTCAACAAAGGAAAATTTATTATTTCTTCAGATATTAGTCGTTGTGGTTAAATGTAAACAACAAGAACGGTTACTGCATTCAGAAGTAGTAACTTAATCAACTATAAAGCAGGCAGTGGTTGGACTGTTGCAAGTTGGATGTATACAAGTACCTGAAAATCGATCAGGGCCTGATCCCGAGACTCCGCCATCTTGGAAACTGTGTTTTGGACCAGGCACTTCCAAGTCGCCAGGTAAGCAGACGTCCGCAGGCCAAGTTCATATAACAACAACAAATAACATTGTGATAACATACATTTATCTATTCAGACTACATTATTATTATTATTTGCATAAACATGGCAAGAAAGAAAATAAACAACGAGCATTTAAACAACTACTTTTTGTTAAAATATTGCACATAGCGCTGGCGCCTAAAAGTCGCCCATTTTGCTAATTGTTTCAAGCGTTTATTTTTCAGTCAGAATTAAAGATTAGGGATTTTTGGGTAACATAAAATTGCTCTCCGGACAAATATTAAAGAGCGCAGTCTCATTCAATAGGTGCAAAATAACATTTTGATGATGGCTTTTTTAACATGCTGGATGCGTACTCGTATGACATGACTTCCGGGGGTACGTGGGCTAACTTTGGTTCCATTTTCCTGTAGCTGACTTACTCTTCAAAATTGCCTGATCACGATGAAATATGCGTTCATCGAATCTTCTCCATCTGTGTTCGGTCCTAATACGGCGGTTGGCAAGTTGTGTTGCAGTTTACAGCTATGTTGCGATATCTGTATATCTCGACCCAACATTTGATTCCAACAAAACCTAAATATAAATAGTTACATTTTTCAACATGCTTGTAAGGGACAGGGGGGGGGAGGGGGGGGGGGGTCAAAATACTGTCTTCCACTCCCCTTCTGAAATAATTAGGCTCACGGATCCCACACGGGCAAAGTCCATCTATTGACATTGTTGTCATCTTTTCGTTTGTGTGCTAGACACTTGGAATCTCTCATTACACGGTGCATCTGGAATAGATTACGTAAATGTTGGCCATAATGCATTTCTTTGAGTCCTGGCTATGAAAGAAATTAATCTTTCACAATTTAGCCGCCACCTGAATTGACATACTTTTGCCAACTCTTCATGGCCTTTAAAAGATCGTCGGAATTAAACATAACTTTTCATACATGCCGAGTCCTCATTTCTGGGGGTGGGGGCAACTAGAACTTTCCTAAAGAGTTTAAAATCGGTGAACGTTATGAAACTAACCAAAGTGTTAATTGTGATCACACTCTGATTGACAGTTTGTTCGCATTGTCGTGATTGCGGTGCTAATGTGCTCTGAGTGTGTCAGCAATGAACTTTAACACAACACCTTAAACTCTTGGTACTTATCAAGCTCAGGGAGTCGGAGGCGAATATGAGAAGTTAAATTAGGCACGTCAATCAGTGCAAATTTAATTACCTTTATACATACGTTTAAAGACCTTGCTACCCGCCTTTCGACCCCTGATAGATTTCAGCAGTCTTCCTGAAAGATATTTTCCCTTATTAATTCGTCTAGAACACAATTTTTTTTTTTTAACGTGTAGGCATTCTGCAGAAAAACCATCGACCCGGCTGCTGATTTTGTGTATTTGTGTAGTATTGTTTGATTTGTATTTGCTGATGAAGGCTCCATAGCCGCATTATTCACGTTTTGCTAATATACTTTTCGTTCTGTTTTATATCTTTTCTTGACAATTCTTTCAACGCAAGATTTTAAAAGTTGTGATTATTCTGTAATATTCAGGGTTGGTCCCTTGCATGACTACACAGAAGTCGTGTTAGTAGACAATGTGTTAGTAGACAATGTGTTAGTAGACAATGTGTTAGTAGACAATGTGTGGCTAGCAAGTGGCGATTACACATGGATAGATGGCTGCTCTTTAATGAATAGGGCACTAGAACAGAAAATAACTACATGTGAAATGCACTGACTCCTCGAGATCACTAGCAACACTATACGTAGCTGCATGTGAAATACACTGACTCCTCAAGGTCACTAGCAACACTATACTTAACTGCATGTGAAATACACTGACTCCTTATGGTCACTAGCAACACTATACGTAACTGCATGTGAAATACACTGACTCCTCAAGGTCACTAGCAACACTATACCTAACTGCATGTGAAATGCACTGACTCCTTATGGTCACTAGCAACACTATACGTAACTGCATGTGAAATACACTGACTCCTCAAGGTCACTAGCAACACTATACGTAACTGCATGTGAAATACACTGACTCCTTATGGTCACTAGCAACACTATACGTAACTGCATGTGAAATGCACTGACTCCTTAAGGTCACTAGCAACACTATACGTAACTGCATGTGAAATACACTGACTCCTCAAGGTCACTAGCAACACTATACGTAACTGCATGTGAAATACACTGACTCCTTATGGTCACTAGCAACACTATACGTAACTGCATGTGAAATACACTGACTCCTCAAGGTCACTAGCAACACTATACGTAACTGCATGTGAAATACACTGACTCCTTATGGTCACTAGCAACACTATACGTAACTGCATGTGAAATACACTGACTCCTTAAGGTCACTTGCAACACTATACGAGACAGGGTTAAGAATACCAGCATTAGAGAGAAAGTTGAAATAAGACCATGTCTGGATTACATTATTAGACAAAAATTAAATTGGTTCGTCCATCTAGTGAGAATGCAGCCTGACCAGACTGCATATGAGACTTTTTACAGTAGAACATCTGGGAGGAAGGCGAGAGGAAGACCAAGAAAGAGATGGATAAATGGTGTAGCTGAAACCTGCCAAAAGTTGAAAAAATCCATCACTCAAGCCTTCCGAGAAGCGCAAGACAAATACAGAAAACCACGATATTGGGTTACAACCCGGTAACAGTGGGACGACAAATGAAGAAGAAGGGGACTGCGTAGTTTCGAGGGTAGGTGTCCGCCTCGAGTGCTGGAGTCCCGGGTTCAAGTCCTGGTGAAGGCTGGATTTTTTTAAAGTGAACTTGCGGTAATTTCCCCTTGTCTCTAGTTAGTGAAATCGGACTCTCGTGTGTTTTGTTGCGCACGTTTAAAAAAAAACAAAAAACCTTAGCAGTTGGAAAGCGAAAAGAGTAGCTTAACGGCGCTGCCCAGGCTAAATTTGGAGTTTAAAATCTACCTATAATATTTCAGGATCTTCGATGGTGCAACAGAGTTCGTGCACTGCGCTGAGCTGCTTCAAACTCCGGATTGAGTTAGAAGTAGAAGGGAGCACTTATGGGTTACACCCGTGTGTCATGATGTTAATCCGTTGAATAAACCAAAACTATTTCTGTTGTACGTGATTACACATGGATAATCAAGTCATAATCGAGGTGTAGCAGCTAGACACCCGCCTGCGGATTAGAAGGTAGCTGCTCAGGCCCTGACAGAGCCCGACTTTTCTTATCTTTTTTAGAAGTAACACAGACCCCCAGGGCGAACCAGCCTTGGATATCAGGTTAAATCCCGGGAAGTAAAGACGGCCGGCGTGATGTTGATCACATCGCCAGCCAAGTACCGATTTGTCTATAAAATATATGCCCAATACGGGCGAGGGTGCGGAGAAAGGTCCTTTACTTAACCAAGACAAAACAAGGAGGATCAGTTGCAAGTCTCGCTGGCGTTAATGTGTTATCTGGAGTCGGTTATCTGGAATCTGATCTGGAGTCGGGGGAGTGGTGCACATTTAGTAACATGTCTGCCAGGAAAAGTCTCTGGTGTCACGCTGACAACAGATCACCCCAACCCCAAACAACCTAGCACTGTTCTCACTACACCCTCTCTCTGACACACACAACTACAGTAGTCTGTTTGTTTGTTTTAGTATCCAGAAGCCATGAGTTGTTAACCCTTAGGTTCGGTATTATGGATATCGCAACCTTTCGGCCTTGATTCCATTGTAAATACTGTAAATCTGGGAGAAATGTGGCTTTTCTGCCCACCCCCGGGAGTGAACCCGGACCACAAGGAGTTCGTCACCCGGTCACCGCTCAATCCGGTTTAGCCAACTACGCTAGAGAGACGGGCAACTACAGTAGTCAACTAAGCCTGGTCTTCATGGATACGGGCACAAAATATCGCTCTGGGTGTATCCTACACACATAACAGATCTCTTAACGATTTTAAATTCCGGTTGCATTGATCTCTCTTGTTATGACACTATATTCCTCTGCAGTCGAAGTGAATCTGACTTAGAGGCAGAGAACCAGCAGTCTGCACACAAATAATCCAGATCCGTAAAACGGATATGCACATCAAAATCAAGCTCTGGGGACAAAGACCAAAGTCCACATGTGTACGAACACTTATAGCCGGTGAGCGCTTAGTCACGGTGATCCGAGACCATTAAACAATTGTTGGAACCTGTCCAAACTAGGGTGTTACACTGTGCCATAGGGAGGGATGCGACTCACAGCCCATGGCAATGACCAGTGTGACTAGCAAGGCCAAATGGCAGTCGAGAACATTCTTCTACAATTATAGTGGAATTCTGGACCGTTGTCGTCATCCTGTGCTTTTGACATGTTTCTTTTCAAATGTCCAACCCTTCATATGTCTGCAATCCTTTTCTCCACTGTCCCTGTTTCCTTCCTAATTTATGTACCCCCCTCCCCCTTTTTTTTTCAAGCAGCTAGGCCCATGGCACCGCATCCCTATGAACTCATCTCATTACCTGTCCACTTTGCGCTCATCTTTAAATCCCAAAGGAGGTCGAACCTGATGTCTTGTACCCATCTGTAGTTTGCTGCAGAGGATGTGTTTATAGGGACTCTAACCTCCTCTATTACAGCAGCCAGGAAGATCGTCAAAGGCGGAGCAAGCTGGACAGTCAACAGCAACTAGAACGCAGCTATGCGGGTCATTCTGGGTTGCACCAAAGACACCCCAGTGGTTTGTATGCGATACATCCTTGGTTTGCCGACGGTTGCAGGTAGGCACAAGGTGCTGCAGGCGAAGTCATATCTCAGGGTAGCTGTAGACACAGATCACCCTTTGCATGAAGCTCTAGGTGCAGTTAAAGGTCAGCGGCTTAAGGCATGCTGAGGAAGATCAGGACAGGCATGCTTCATGCGGAGTGGTATGCCTCGCTACGGAGGACATGAGTGAGGAGTATTGTCTGGATTTTTTCACTAGGGAGCGCTGGTGTGTTGGGAAATGAATAGGCAGACAGATTGTCTTGTCTGGCTTAGCACATCTTGGTGGAATACTGATGCAAAAGGCAGACGTGGTTAGTGCCTTGTGGAAGAGAGTGTTCAGTTCAGAGGAGCAGATGGAACAACAGTCTGGTGAGACTGGTGCAGGGGTAGTGACGAGAGGTTCTGGCAGAAGCTCGAGGCTCAGAGGAAAGGCAAGACGGACGTTTAATCAGAATGCTACTGGCACCATTAGTATCGGAACTTTTCGCTGGCTGCTGAAGATAGGAATGCTACGAATGCTGTGATATAGGTTCTTGAATCAAATCAAATCAAATTAGCAACTGATGACTCGAGATGCAGTTATAGGATCCTGATGACGATGCCACTCCTCTATCCTCCTTGTCATTGGAGCCTTGAAAGACTGAGTACTGAGAAAACTGTTGTGACACCTGCCATTTCCAATACCTCACTGTCTCAACACCAATAAACACAGACATGCACAAGGAACATCCAAGATGTTTATTCTTCAGACAACAGGGTAATACACAACACAACAGACAGGACATGAATACGATTTGCTGAGCAAACAAGTTAATAAACAAGGACAACATTTGCAATTTGATTATCAAAAACAAGGACAACGTTTGTAATTTGATTATCAAAACTGGCACCTGTGTTGTACTGTAGCCTGAAAGCAGGCGTTTCACAAAGACTGACAGCAACTGAAAAAAAAAACAAAGATATATTTAACAGTTCTACAGTACTTGACTAAACAAAAAAAAAAAAAAGAAAATTTACATATATAAAAGACACAATTGTCCAAAATAGGGAGAGACGAATCATCAGTTGTAGCGTGAGTAAACAGAGACAGATAATAAGAGTGAGAGTAAGGGAGGAATCATTGGCTATAATATGAATTCTGACAAATATTTGATAAGTGATAAGGAAGGGAGGAATCATTTATTGTAATCTGAACCCAATATATTAATAAAGGCAAGTAATGACAAATACTATCACGTTAAAAAGGAGGGACAACTGTACAGTATTTGCAAAGTCTGCATGAATAATAGTAATACAGGCAATTAATTAAAACAGGCACAATAAAAACAAATTATGCTATTAAATGTAGAAAAATCAGCAAATTGTAATTTAAAGGCCACATTTTGACTGGTTCTTCTTCTTGCTGTTCTGCAATTAACCCCTCAATAGAAATGGACTAAAATCACCTCATCACATCCCTCTTTAGCAGCTCATGCCATGTCCTCAACGTATCGCTCATTCCTGTTTCATTCTCTTCTCTCGAGTGTTTTTTATGTCTCCCTTTCTCTCCTTTATCCTGTGGGTTCTAATAAGATTATTTTCAGGTTTTCTTAAAATACTGGCTCTACTCTACAATTTAAAACTAGGATATCTCAATGATTTGTTTTTCTAACTCTTTAACCTTCATGATGTGATGTGTCTGTATGCCTTAGTTCTCCGTAAACAAAAAGACGTTTTTTGTCGGACACTTGTTTCCGCCTGATATTAACACACAAAAAAGGGTAAACTATTTCATCACCGAGCAACTGAACATATTTATTACTTTATAAATACACATTTTTCAACTGCTTATGTCCTATTTTTCTGTTTGTTTAGTCCATTCTATCATGGTTGCGACTTTCGCTCACTCTCTTCCAAGGATGTTGCATTTTGCCACCATTTTAGACTAAAAATGTTACTCAAAAAGACGTACACTCTGGGACAGATGAGTGTTGATGCAAAAAACTTTGGGGTTAGAAAGAATTAGAATATCAACCAATCAGCTTTTGAACTGGAACATTGCAAGAGCTGTAAAGGAAGATGTTTATGTACAGCTGATAAAGCTAATTGTACATGAGCATTTGTTAATGCAGGAGACAAAACAAACAATACATCAAATGTAGCAAATATAGCAAAACTGCTTCATGTGGCCTGTTGCAGGCACTGGCAAATATTGGCAATGATGATACTTGTATCAGGAAAAGTAATTAATGCAGAAACACTGGATAACATGAAGAAAGATACAGGAAGGTGATAAGACAAGTTCTGTTAGTAGTTTCTGGAAGGGCATCTGAACACTACAAGTGTATCCCCGTTTAGGTTCCAGGGTCCCATTGTGGGGGAAAACAAGAACAGATTCACTGTCTCCCTAACAAGCAGTAGACTAAGTGGAGCTTCCTTTGATGTCGGAGTGCATCTGCCTGAGCGGCAAGAAACAACAATCTGTATACACTTAAGTCAGATCTGTTAAACAAGATAGACATGCAACACTCAGGCTCTGGAACAAGACAGACAACCTGAACTTTCCGCTGGAGTTTACAACCGGTAAATGCAAAGAAGAAGAACTACAAGTGCAGAGTTAAAAAGGTTTCTCCCCAGGTGGGTTCTGGGACCTCACCATGGGAGTAAAAAAGAAAAGATCCACTGCCCCCATACAATTATGTGCTGGGCAAAAAGGTGCAGATATCACAGCCTAGCTGTAATCCACAACATGTCAGTCAACCTTTCAAGGATGAACACAGGAGAAGAAGAAAATGTTAGATCAAGTCACAGCTGACAATGACCCAGTAATAAAACAAAGCAAAAACACAATTCAACTACGTGTACACAAACAACACATCATGCTATCAGTTACTTCATGATTCAAGAACGCCTGAGAAGGAAAGGCAACAAACAAAGTTAAGTTATTACAGTGCAGACAGCTTAAGGTGATCTTGCATGTAGCAAATTTATGTTGTGAAGAACAATTTGCTTATCCCCGGCAATGTTTCTTGAATTCTTATCTGGATCAGAGAAATTTCTGATTTAAAAAAAAAACAATTTCTGGGGTTGCTGATGTTTTCATCGTCAGATCTGCACTGTACAAACCAAACATGAATGGCAATCTTCAGTAACCTTCCTCCCATCTGCTAACAAACATTCAACCCCAAAGATGTAAAGTTTACAGAAGAAAAAAAAGAACACATTTAAAAACAACAACATTTGATCTCATGACTGGAGAAATTGTGAAACGACAGCCCCTTCTTCAGTGGATGAGTTTACAAAACGACACAGCTGCCTTTTTCTTTGAAGGGGTTCTCGCTGGGCTTGCTAAAACCTCGTATCAGATAGTCCTCCTCAATATGGGCATCACAATACTTCTGCAGGTCATCAATGCACTGGGAGACTCGCAACCTGGTGATCTGTGCCTCACAGCGAAGCTGCTCGATCAGTCGCCGCTGCTGTTGCAGTCCTTCCTGGAATTTGTTCATCTTCCTGCACGGACAGTCAAAACACAATTTCTTTCAAAAATGTGGTGACAACCTTTTTGACTACATTCTGTCATCAGTTAACTATGTCGGTACCAAAGCATAGCTGAATTAGTTATAAATAATTGAGTTAATCAAGAACTGACATAACTGCACTCGGGACATTCCCATACTTGCTCCGTCCCCTCCTTCAGCAGCCAACCATGACAAGTTGACATGCCAATAGTACCAGCTGCCACCTGATCAAAAAGTCCCCCCCCCCCTCCCAATGTTGAATATTTCCTAGAACCTCTACCACTCCCTCCCCTGGTTGCATTATTTGTTCAATGTATAAATTCCCTATCTGTTCTTTTGTAGTCCATTTGATCCCATAGAGCCTTCACCGCATCCACTTTAACATATAGTAAGTAGCTCACCCCCAGAGGAGCGGCAGCAGCCAATCTTTCAGCGTGCTCATTACCGCGCACACCTGAATATACTGGACAGATAATTCATGACATGATCTTGATATGGGTGGTTTCCCATCTAATAAATCAATGCATTCTCTGGTACCCAACCCAAAGAGTAGATTTGTTTCTCTATACTGAAACTATGTTTTTCTGTCAACATATTAATCCTTACGTTAGTGGAGATTGAGCATCTAAGAGTCTACCAAAAGTGCTAAAATATTTTTGTTAACTGCAAATGAAAGCATTTAGATGAGTTAACTGGAGGACGAAGAAAAAGAAGAAGAAGAAGAAGAAGCCAACATTTATGGAAGCAATCATTGTACAGCTCTGGTTAAACTTTGGGGGAAATCTAAGAGACCCCTAAGCAGAAATCCTAATTTACTGCTAACAGTGCATTAAGCGCATGAGCAAAGATTGCTGAAGAAAAAGTACAACTCTGTACCCAATCAATAGCACTAATGTGCATATATAGGAAGTAAGTGAAAGAATCAACATCAGAAGACACTCTTGATAATTTAATATGTAATTGTGTCTTTAGTTTGTGCCATTCAGGATCTTCCTGTTTTTTAGTCTGTGACCCTCAGTTCTGTCTAGGACTTTAAGCAGGAGGTGTTTCTTGTCTGCAGCTACTCCGAGATGTGACTTCGCTGGCAGCACTTTAAGCCTATCTGCAATAGTCAGCAGTGCCAGTATATAACACATACCTACTATCAGATATCTCCTGCCCTCATGGCTTCATTCTGTATACCTTCAAGTTTCATCAGTTTACTCTTTGATACAGTGAGCATTCCAAGTCCACAAACTATTACTGAGAGGATCATATGCTGGAATACTACCGGAGCACTTATGGGGGTGTCCCGAGTACTATGATGTTGATTCTTAATTCAAAATTTGTCTACTGCTGTCATAACCTTAAGTGCACTGAGTCATTTTTTGACATTTTGCCCCAACTGCCTCCGCATAATATTTGAGCGACAGATTTCTATCAAAACTGATACCCAGGTACCTCAGTCAGCTTTCTCTTTTGATGACCTCCATTATTAACTGTGAGGTTTAGGACAACAGATCTTATCATTCAAATTTCCAGATGGCCCCATAAAACAGCCACTTTTCTGGGTTGATGACAGCAATATTTCTACGCACCTGTTAGTCACTTTGTCTACAGCTGCCTGTAGGTTTTTGGGCTGTCTGTTGCTTATTGCTCCCCTGCCTATATGCAAAAACATCCTCTGCAAATGTCAATATTCTTCCCAACACCCGGTGCTTCAAGTTCTGAAATCTCGCTTGTATACACACAGAAGAGCACTAGGAAACTGCAGAGCCCTGAGATAGTCCCAGGGAAATACTGCATGGTTCTGAGGTCCATGTACCCAGACAGAGGGCAACCATACTTCAGACTGCCTGAGACAGATGTGTCAAATCATGCTAGTGATCTGAAAGGTTGCATCTGTGATAGTGTGTTAAATCAAAGCAGACAAAATTATGCTTTTCAAAAGAGGTGGTCTCTTGTAACCCTTTGACCCAGAAAATGCTAAGACAAATGGATCATGAATCCATCAGAATGTCTGAAAAACTATTTTATACAGGTAACCAATAAATTATTTAACAATTTATTTACCTAAATTAAATGTTTTTGTATTTTTAAATATATAAAGATTTATGAACAGAGTAATCATTAAACAAAAACACAGTGAAGCACGAGATGGAGTGCATTCCCCAGGGCTTAAAACAAAACTGTATCAGATGACCCATGCAGTGACCTCTACCACTGAGGCTTACAGGACAATTTTAAATTAACCAGGCTTTTAAAAAAGTTTAAGGATTTACAAGGAAAACCTTCTAAATGCTATATTTAGTTAACATATTGACATCCGGGCCTCCGAAACAATATGGAGGTGCAGACATAAACAATGGAATTTTATCAAGCTGGTCGAGAACAGGTAACGGTAGACAGGCAAATATATCAGCAATTACGGGACTGGGTCACACCTGGAAGTGGCACAGTTTAATTTTATCGTGTTGACAGTGCTAAATTTTTCAAGTCTAATACACTTGTCTGTCAGAGTGTATGAAACTATGCTAGCTTCAGGTCTTTATGGGTTGGCACATTGGAAGACATAAGCAAAATAAAAGCAACAGAAAAAGTTTCTTACCTGCCAATCTGTTTTCACACAGCTTCACCTGAACTGTGGAATGAAAATAAAATAGTGCCATTAATAATACATCTTGCAGTAAATGCTTGGTGCGTGTTAGTCAAAGATAAAGAAAAACACATCCAATATTGGCACTCACAGTCTAGTGGCTGGAGGTTTACCTGTCAAAGACTCTGATCTTCTTCTTCTTTCATTTGCTTGAAATAGATTATCTGCAATGTTGTCTTTAGTATGAGCTTCAATGTCTTGTGTAATTCCCTCAGTTTAACTTGCAACGATGTTTCTCTTGGCTAGACTCAAGTGTCTACGGTTTTGCCTCATCTGAGCAGACTTTTTTTCAGCATAAAAAGGGGATTAGAAAATGTTCTTGGAAGTAAAAGAGGCCAGCATGGTGGTGATATCACCCATCATGTGCCCGCTGGTTTACAAAAATAGAGGTCTTACAATATATATGTGATGTCATGGGTTCGACTCCGCATCGTGTAAGATTGTTTTTTTTTCTAAAATAATTTGTTCTCCCAGTTCACCCAAGCCTAAAATAGATACCAACCAAAGTCCTGGGAAGTAAAGGTAGCAGCGTGATGTTGACCACATTCACTATCAAGTGCCAGTTGGTCTTTTTTTTTTATTTTTTTATGTATATCCAGAAACCAAGAGTTCTTAACCCTTTGGCTTGGTACTATGGATATCGCAACATTTCGGCCTTCATTCCTTGATAAATAACTTTTCTGTCTACCCCCGGGAGTGAACCCGGACCACAAGGAGTTCGTCACCCGGTCACCGTGAAATCAGGTTTAGCCAACTACGCTAGAGAGCCGGGCCCAGTTGGTCTATAAAAACAGGAGCGTAGCACCACATACCTGATGTGCCATAGACATGAAAAGGGCCCTTGGCTACATCCAAAAATCCATTTGAGAGTCTGGACATAAATTTGCCATCAGATACTGCATCTGAGACCAGCTGGCAATACAGTGAAACTAATACAGGTATATTCTCTGTCTTGTGGACGTGTTGTGTCATCAGCTAAGTCCAATAAAAAAATGAAAGACAGTCATACAGCTGATGACATATTGATCCTCTTATGAAACTGGGTTACCTGATGTAACTATTGAGTAAATCGCAACAATTATGTTGCTAGAAATTGACCTGGATAATCTTTTTTGGAAACAAAGTATGAGCCTATATATAACACAAACATGTATATGGATAAGATAAACGTGTACATGAAACAAGCCCATGTGTACGACTGATATTGGTATGTATGTCTGTAAATCATTAAATAAACTTGTATATGAAAAAAAAGCATATATGTATGAGTGATATTAGTATGTGTGTGAGTAATACATCAGTACATCAGTAGATAAACTTGTAAATGAAACAAGTACATGAATATGAGTGATATTACTATGTGTGTATGATATATAAGTCTGGGTTTAAGTAATATGTCTGTATTTCTTAGTCAAACATCTTGAAGTAATAATTTTCTTCTTCTATAATTCAGTATTCCATAAACTGACAATACAAACTCAGGTGTTAAATTCATATGACTAAATATAAACAATGTATTTAAGATTCACTTACCCAAATCACTCTAGGCTAGGCAACTATTTAAACAAGGGCCCAACTAAGACAGTAATAAACACAGGTGGAGACTGTGAAGCTACCCAAAACCCACAGTGAGTCACAACATGACAAGCGTGCAGGGCAGCTTTCCCAGAACCTCATTAGAGCCACACCCGTGTGGAGGGGCTGACATGAAATGTCATCACATCTGCAGATCAATAACCCCTCCCTGTTGTAGATAACAGTTGTCATGGAAACATCAATCTCTTTCACATAGGAAAAGTTGCCAGTGATTGTGTCACATTCAGCAGAAATTTGACTTTTGATTCAGCCCTGTGGCTAATTCATTGAAAGAAAAATAATTTTTATAAATGGGACTTCCTGGTGTCACTTCTTATTTTCTTAATTCACCTCTATTTTTCCAATTATAACTTTTATGATTTAGTTTTTATTATATGAAGTTTTAAAAGCATTTTATAAACTGAAAAAGTATCATAATTTTGCTGTTTCTTTTGTTTGAGCTGGGTCAAGAATCAATATTGTTTTTCTGTATGTGCTCCATCCCCATCTTCAGCAGCCAGCACACAGTTCACAGGTGCAATTTTTACTGAGTTCGTGGTCTGTGTTAGATGCTCTGCGGAGAGAGACTGAGACACATGGGACAAAACATGGTGCAATGAAGTCGATCCTCTCGACTTTAACCTTTGACTTTCCTCTGAGGGTTGAGTATCAACCAGATCCCCTGGTCACTCCCCGCTGACCAGTCTCTTCAGACTGCAATGATCTATTTGTGCTTTTGCATTGTTCACTCACTCTCAAAAGGTTTTCACCACATCCA